CTCTCACATGTTCCGTGCATGCAGGGGAGTCCTCCATCACATGTTCCGCGCATGCAGGGGAGTCCCCCCTCACGGGAAGGGGGGGATTCTCTCCTCTCCTCCCCATTTCATTGGTCCACTGTGACCTGTTTGGTAATTTCATTGGTCAAATTTTTTTTAACCTTTTATTTATACAGGTAGTTTCATTGAGTCACGAGGACCCACCCCCCAAGAGAGACATGTATTGGGCAGCTATGTGAGCGTCCGGGTGTGACGAGGCTAAATGTTTTGGCGGCAGGAAGCTCGTTAGCCTGTCAAAAAATAAAATAAAAAGAATCCATAATTAGCTGCAGCTTTGTATAAACTGCAGGGTTAAAGCTGTGAAGAAAGTAGCAGCTTATAGTCCAGAAATTACGGTACTTCAATAATCAAATATCATGCAGTGAACAAGTTACACGTTACTTTTATTTTGGCGGTGTTAAACTTGTCTTGTCGCCCTTCAGGCTCCTCGTGAGGCTCTGGCGAAGACCGTGTTGGCCGAAGTACCAATTCAGCTCGTGGAATTCTTCAGCACCATGAAACTGAATCCACCCAACTCTAGTCCTGCTCAGAACCCTGCTGGGACTGTGTGACACCATGAAGAGGTCGAGCCCGCCTCCCGGAGACATCAGCTACTCTTTTTTTTTTTAATTTTTAAATTTTATTTTTTTATGCACTTACCCACCCCCCTCCTGTTTTAGTTCACCCCCAGCCAATCAAACACCGGGTCTGAACACACCAGATGCTGGTGTTTTTAATATTCATGACTCTTGATTTAGCTACAAATCATTCCAGTAACGAGACCATGCTTAGTGCAAGTTTACATCCAAATAATGAACATTACCCTTCAGTGTTTCAGTAATGTTTACTGAAGAGAAACATCTTTTAAGAGTTGTCCTTTAACCCACAAGCTAGGCTGCGTTGTACGTTTAATATCTGTCGTCTCTCTAAAATAAAACATCAGCCATTATCAAACTATAGTTTTTTCTCTTCAAAATAAAGCTCCCTCTTGCTTCCTGCTTCAGTAAACTCAAATATAGTTTATTTTAACCCTTAAATAATTAATTTATTCATTTTATGACCATTCCTGTTCCTTTGAGGAAAAATCAGCCACCTTATTTAACTGCTTCAAAAGATTATTATTTAAATAAATTTTCTTTCTACAATAAACTGGTCAGACTTTTCAAGCTGTTTCAGCCTCCAATAAAAAGATTACATTTAAACGTTTGTAAGAATCTTTAGTTTATAAACTAACTCCAAATCTTTATTTGTTGGCCTTTTTTCTTTTTTTTAAGTATTTTTCTCCCCATAAGTACACCCAAAATTATGATTAATTTTATTTTAATTATTTAAGTCTTTTTGTTAAAAAAAAAAAAAAAAAACTTTAAATTTTCTTTAAAATGACAAAAAAAAAACTAAAAAAAATTTATTATTTTTTTTTTCCCTCCAGTTATTATGCTCAAAATGATTTTATTAATAATTTTCTTCCAGTCCAGCCCACCAGCACCTCCAGATCCAGCAGCAGGAAGTGAGGCCTTGGTTTCTGTCAAACGAGCATGTCTGGTCATACATGGAGGTTTTATTAAATAATTAAAATATATATTATTGTTATAATTTCTACCCATGGTAGAAACAGTAGTTTCTGATCGTTTTAATTTTTTTGTTTGTTTGCCTGAGGGTGCACCCTCTGACTTCCTGCCGTGGGATAAACCAGCTGCTGACAGGTGTGGGGCGTCTGCTGCAGCCTGCATGCATGTGCAACAGCTTTTTACGTCTAAATGTTTATTTGTGCACATTACAAGTGAGTTTTTGCTCTTTACATGCAAACTAAAACAAGTTTATTGGTCAAGATGAGAGACGTGACTCCTGAGAGACATCTGGCTGACAGACGTTCTGCTTCTAGTAGAACTCTGTAGATCTTTAGACGCTCTCACGTGTAACAGCTGAGCACCGCCTGGTGAACTCATGTAACAATCTAAAGTTTAGCTACATGAGAGTGTAGTGAAGTTACTGTGAGGTTAGGAGAGTGTTGGAAAAAATTCTGACAAACTTAAAAAATAAGGATTTTTAGGTTTTGCTTGAAAAAAACAATGTTTGACGTCACCAAATAAATAAATAAAAACGGACAAAAATAAACGTGTAGCTGATTTTTCCTCAAAAGACAATAGAAGGGTTAAGACTAACCTGTATAAATAAAGGTTGAATGAAAAGTGAGGAAACAGCCATGATGCTCCTTCTTTTCTTGCAGGATGTTTTCATAACTTCAGCAGCAGCAGCTGTGTGCAACTCGAGAACAAGAGTTTAAACATGTGTTATAGTCTGCAGAGTTTTATTTCAAGTGTTGCTTGTTTGTCAAAATATTTACTAGAGCCTGACCGATGTGGAAATTTTGGCTATCACAATACCAATATAATGGCTAAAACAATTGATCTTTGTCCACCACCAAGAATCTCAGTAAACAGTGAGTGGAGCGGGGCTTGTTTATCGAGCGCAGCTGTTAGCAACCATGAAGCTAAGCTAATCAGATCCACACTATACGCAGTCCTACAGTAGATTTACAAGTGGGGCACTGGTCATAAAACAGTGTTCCTAACGTGTGTTCACATTTTCTATCCTCCACTAGTCACCATAAAGTTGTAAAGTGTTTTACATAAATATAAATTAAACAAAGAAACACCCTCGCTGTTAATTGTTTAAACAGTCACATTTGGTGAAGGTCTAATTAGTGTTGACTGGAGCAGAGTTTATTTTTCTTTGTAGAGAAGTAAAGATTTCAGACAAACAATGCATTTCATTGAGGATGACAAAGATAACGTTACTAACACAGATATATTTTATACCTTTACGTTAGATTTATTGTTCTGGATAATGTTTTACAAGGCAGTAGCTTATGCTAGGTTACCTAAACATTAACTTGCTAACTTGAGAGGCGCGTAGCTAATGACAAGCAGGTTGGAGGAGTGAAGAGAATTTATTATTGATTTATTTTACAGATCAGTTAAAATAAACTTACCTTGTTCTGTTCTACACTACACAGTATTGTTCGCTGTTTTGTCTGTGCTGAGAGTGAAACTTAAGTGAACTGCCATGACTTGAAAGTAGTCTTCATGCTCCCTCTGCTGGATACATTGTACAATTACAGCTGGTTCCAGCGTTTTAGGGGTGAAAATTAGAAGTGTTTATATCGGTGCACAATGGGACAATTATCACCAATATATCTCCAAACATCTATATCAGTATAAAATATCGGACATACCGATATATCGGTCACGCTCTACTATTGTATCATGATGATTTATTAGATATTTTAAGGGATTCTTATTTTCCAATAATGGGTCAGTAAATTGTGTCTTTCTGCGTATAGATAATTTATAGATGTATTTTCTGAACTGTCTGAAACATTCAGTCAAGTCACACCAACGCTCTTAAAGCCTGATGCAGTTCCAACCATTAAAACCTGTTTGTTTTTTTACCGTGTAATGTGTGGTACTGGATCATGTCTTCCTGCTACTTGGAATTCTTGTCAGAATGTGTCTGAGCTTTCAGCTTGCAAATAAAACTAATATTTTATATAAACAGCGCTGGAGTAATTTATATAAAAAAAATATTAGAGCTGCTGCCCCCTGCTGGACAGTAGGAGACAACAGCTGGTCCAATCAACATCACATATTAAACACTTAGCTTGGTTTATAAATTATTTTGTCATTTTCCTAATTAAGGCCTGTAACACTTTAAAGAAATGTCCAGTGGGTCAGCAAATTAAAAACATTGTCCACCTTCACAGCTCGGCAGATAAAGGTTACATTTCTCAGAGTGCGTTGCTGTTTGAGCACATTTATCACAGAAGCGTTGCCATGTCTCATTTTAGGTCATCCATGTTAAAAAACCATTTAATTCCTGAGCCCTGAAGTTCATCTTTATTCTCAGAGGGCGACTTGTTCCAGACTCTGACAAACATTCTGACGTACTCATAAGAAGCGTGATCGCTGCAGATAAATACGTTTTACACTTCGTACCCTGCACAGCTGTCACGCTCGGGCTCTAATAATCTCATTTAGGAAATAAAAACATTAAAGTTTAATGTATTGATAAGTGGAGGAGCAGCAGAAGATGCTCTCTGAGCGGACATGTTCTTTCCTGGTCAGGAAAGAAGTCACCGATGTCCCCGTTACCGAGAGATCTGTATAATAAATGTTTGGAGACGTGTTTTTATGGACTGAATTAAACAGAATTAAAACCTTAATGTTTTTGTTGCAAAGTATTAAAGTGTGCAGGAGTTGCACTGTGGAGAACAGAGGGAGGTGATTTGTTCTCTGAGGCAGTGATGGATCCTGCTGAGTGGAGGGAGACGTTTAATCCACCAGCAGGTGCAGTGGAGGAGCCAGGGGGTGGCTAATGGTGGCCATGGCCCTCAATTTATTCTTTGGGCACCCCCCAAAACATTTACTACACTTATATGCAAGAAACTAGAACGCATAGTTTCCTCCAATTGATGATTAGGGTGATGAACAGAAGTATTTGGTGGCAGCCATCTTGGATTTTGACATGGCAACATAAGTTTGGACGGTGATGTTTTTTCCACCTAGATGCAGCCGCACCAAAGGGAAGCTGGTAACCCACTTATTTTTCAAGTTACGCTCACAGCACGCACAAACTGATTTATGACGGGGGACAGAAAACCATTCCTTGGTCTTGAGCAGATTTGTCTGAACTTGTCTGCAAAGTTCAAATAAAAGCCTTCACACAGTAAAATACTTTATTGTGTAAAAGTTACAAAGAGTGAGTTCTGTGGTATCAGCGTGAAGCTGTCGGGAACGTCCACCGCTTCGTCTAAAAAGAGCTTCAGACAGGTCGTCATGATTCTGCATGTTTGCAGTCTGAACATGGACGCCCCTCCATGTCCGTCCTACATTTATAAACCTCCTGACTAAAGTAGAATCCAGCAGCTGTTTGTCCTTCAGGCCTCAGCTTAGCTTCAGCTGGGGGGTGGTGGTGGGGGTCTGTCTACATGCGCTGGATGTTGCCGTGATCCATGAACTGCTTCAGGTCGTGCAGGTTGTCCCACCACTTGAACAGGAAGGTGTCTGCGATGAGGCTGAACCACGGCGTGAGCTGCAGCTCCTTGCGTTTGGCCTTCTCCAGCATGGCCCTCAGCTCCTCTTTGCTCACGTAGCAGTGGCTCTGGATCTCATTGGGATCTGGACTCAGGTCCACGTCCTGCACAAACACCAGGAAAACAACAAGACTGAACTAGAGAAACTGCATTTCTGTAAAATGTTTATTGCTGAAGAACTTGCTGAAAAAACAGCTGAAATAGAAGAACAAGCCTAAGTTAGCAGAAGAAAGCAGAAAACATTTGCTGAATTACCGTAGATTTAAATGAGCAGAAATGAGCAGAAAAATTAAGAAATGAGCTAAAAATAGATTAAATTAATAAAACTTAAAAAAACTGAAAAGTAGCTTAAAAAGCAGAAAGAAGCTTAAACTACCATAACAGAGTAGAGGGAGCGCAATTTTTGCTGAATTAGGCTGAAAAAAAATTAAAATGAGTGCAAAAATTGTGGAATTAGCTGAAAAAGCTAAAACTAGCATAAAACAGCTAAATAATAGCTGAAATAGCAAAAAAGCTTAAACTTGCTGAAATAAGCTGACAGGAGCAAAACAAACTGAAATTAGCAGGATGTAGCTGAAGAAGAACAAAACATGAAAGGAGCAGTAAAAGGTTGTAAACGCATCTAAAGATTTTTGGGTGGAAAATGAGCTCAATTCATTTTTTTATGAGTAAAAAAAAATGGCAAAAAATACTAAATATTTCAAAAAGCTAAAGTTGCATCAATACAAAAGTCATAGCAGGATTGTCCTGAAAGAGCTGAACCTTTTGATTTATGATTTGTTGAAATAGCACAAAAATCATGGAACGAGAACGATGCTGAAAATCATAGAGAAGAGAAATGGATTCACACGATCAAAGAAGCAGCGTCACTTCAGATCATTGAGGTTTGCAGGCTCAGCACTCTTAAGGTCCCACCACAACATTTCACTCAGTCTGAGGTTCTGGACTTTGACTGGACGTTGGAACGTCTTGATTCTTTTCTTTTTGAGCCATTCGATTGTAGATCAGCTGATGTTTGAATCAAAGTCCTGCTTCATGACCCAGTTTGGTCCGAGCTTCAGCTGTCGGACAGATGGACTCTCAGCTGACCCTTAAATCAGACGGTAAGCTCCGCACGACTGTCCTAAATGTTTTCTGCTCGTGAATCATCTTTCTTTGTGTAAAATTATGAACTTCAGATGGATTGTAAATGACTCAACTCTTCTCACATTGAAGAACATTAACAGTGATTTCTCTAAGGTCATTGCTGATGTCTTTTCTCCTTGGCATTGTGTTAACACACGCCATATGCTTCAATAAAGGTGCTCACACTGCTGAAGATCAGGACCTGGCTGAGCCTGGACCTCTTGAATCCTGCAGAAGCAGCATGAGACAGACTTTCATCGATGGCCTCATTGTCTCTATTGTGATCCTGTTCATATTAATTATTATGGTACTATTACTATTATCAGTGTTTCCCCTACCATTATACAAGCAGGGTGCCCCAATTGAGCACCCTGCCTACCAAACCAAACTTGCCCCCCCACCTGTCCACCCGGCACTGACATAGCACTAAGCTATTAGCGAGAAATACAGGTTCTCTAGCTAAAAAGCTAAAGGAAGCGCTCATGTTGCCTCTTCCCTCGTGCTAAACGCCCCCTGCCCCCACTCAAAAACTGTTAGTACAAGCTGCGCTCAGACAAGTGTCCGTCCCCCCATCAACAAAAATCATGGATGAGACGAGCACCCCGCCATGGCAAGTTAACTAGAGGAAACACTGATTATTAATTATTATTGTGTGAATGTTTAATAAACATTCACTCGATTGTGATCCTGTTAATATTTGTTATTCCGTATTAGATTCTTTCTGCCACCTACAACATTTTAGTGCTTCTAACGTCTTTCTGCTATTTTCAGCTTGCTTTGCTCCTTTTGGTCTATTTCTGCAAGTTTAAGCTTTTTCTGCGATTTCAGCTACTATTTAGCTGTTTTATGTAAATGTTGGCTTTTTCAGCTACTTTTATATTTGTTGCACACCTTTTTTCAGCCTAATTCATCAAAGATGTGCTCTCTCAACTTCCTTCTGGTAATTTAAGCTTCTTTCTGCTTTTTTAGCTACTTTTCAGCTGATTTGTTTTGTTTTTGTTAATTTCAACTTTTTTCCACATAGTTTCCACTTGTGTGCTCATTTCTGCTTTATTGTGCTAATTTAAGCTTGCTCTAGCTTTTCAGCTACCTTTTTGGCATTTTTTAGCTGCCTTCAGCTGTTTTCAGATAAAATTATTTTTTTTGTGGTAATTTCTGCTACTTACAGCCAATTCAATTCAATTTATTTATAAAGCACCAAGTCACAACACAAGTCATCCCAGGACACTGAACAGAAACAGTCACATACATAGAAAAGCCAGTTAGTATTAGAAGGCTGTTTTTGCTGCTAGTTTTGGCTTTTTCTGCTATTTCAGCTAATAGCTGTTTTATACTCATTTTAGCTTTTTCAGCATAATTCCACATTTTTTAGCTCATTTCAGCTCCTTCCATTTCCTTCTAGTAGTTTAAGATTCTTTCTGCTTTTTCAGCTACTTGTTTTTTTGTTGCTAATTTCAGCTTTTTTGTTTTTAGAAGCTGTTCAGGACCAGTAACAGTATGAAAGTCCAAGTCCTGAAGGACATGCTGGCTCTACCTTCTGCATGAAGAGGATGTAGTCGATCTCGTGCTCCCCCCAAACACCGTCCGACTGGGCCTTGTAGTGGATCCGTGTGAGGTAGGTCATTTCAGCTGGTGGCACCTGAAGACAGCAGGCAGGAGATCAGACACCTGAACCCTGGGTGATCTTCAGGCATGGGGTGGACTCCTACCTGCTCCAGAGGGATTCCCAGCTCAGCTCCGAGTCTCCTCTGAGCTGCCCTCCTCACTCCTAACGCCTCCTCCTCCTCCAGCTCGCTGTCTGTGTGTAAAGGATGGCTGCAGCACGTGTTTGTGAAACAGCCTGAACACAAACACAACGTCCAACTCTTTCCAACGACAAACGGCCATGTTCTAATCCAGAGGAGCTTGAAGCTGACCTGGAAAGGTGATTTTGGCGTCGGACCTCTGCTGCAGGAGCAGCTTGTCCTCGCTGTTGAACAGGAAGACGCTGAAGGCTCGGTGCAGTAAACCTGCAGGATTGAACAAGCAGAGGTAAACGAGCCGCACAACAACGTCCCTCATCGCCGAGGGATCTGAATGATGAGTGTCGCTTCTGCAGGTGAAGCCTTGCAGCATCCAGGTGGGCAGAAGGTCCACAGTGGAGGACCGAGGGAGGTTTGTGTCCAAAGCAGCAGAGCGACGGATCCTGGCGAGCGGAGGGAGCATTTTATTTACAACCAGGTGCAATGGAGGAGCCGGGGGGTGGCAAAAGGTGGCCATGTCCACCATAGATTAATCTTCAACCACCCCAAGGGCCACCCCAATCTTTAGAGGAAGCTATACTTTAAACAAATATAAAAATTAGAAATCCACTGCTTCTAATAATAAAAGGTGGCTGGTTTACAAACCGTAATGTCTGCTCTACAACCCCTCACCCCCATATGATACTAGGAGACCACCTATATGTTAAACTTTAAAAATATATTTCTGTGTAAATAGCTTACACCGTGGACACCTGTGGCTTATATACTCACAAAATTGCATTTCTTTTTAAATTTAGTGGGCGTGGCTTATATTCAGGCTGCTCAATAGTCCAGAAATTACAGTAACTGTGTGTGTGCTGGTGGCCATCTTGGATTTTGACATAGGGACTAAATAGGTACATTTCTTACGCCGAGGTGCAGCTGCACACCAAAACAGATGTCAGTACACCGCTTACAGTTATCGTGCTCACAACGTGCACAGATGGAGGGGGTTTCCAACTCCTGCTCTTTGTTTGTTGACGGGGGACAAAACAAACAAACAAAAAGTTGAGCTGTGTGAAGCCAGCTACCTTTATCGATGCTCGAGTTGAGGTGGCAGTTCTTCTTGGTGTCCGCTCCGACCCTCCGGTCGTTCTCGTCGATGATGATGCACATCTCAGAGAGCAGCTGCACCTGCTTCTCATCCAGGTGATCGGTGGTGACCTCAGGCATGCTGGCTGCAGACGGAGGGCTTCTCACCACGCTGTGGTTCAGGGAATCGTTCAGAATACACTTTCACACCAACACGACACAAACACAGTCGTCTTCTTCATCTGTTTGATGTGTTGCAGTCTGAGCATGAAGCTGAGGTCCACAGGACACGTGAGTCCAGAGCCCAAGGTCCAGCTCTGCTGTGATAATCCTTATCAAGTTTCAGTTCTTTAATCCTCCAGAGTGCACGCACAGAAACACTCATTACATGTTCTCTTCACAGTGAACATTACTGTCACAGTTCCTACACAAACAGAACTTACATGTTTGTTAATGCTACAACCGGACACTTCCCTTCAACTCTGCATTTCGGTCTGATTGAGAAACTCAGGGAGCGACAGACGCAGGTGTGGTTACCATGGTGACCTTAATGAGCTGCTGCCGGTCCCTAATTACTGTGAAGCTTTACAGAAAGTTTACAAATGGTGGCGTTTGAGGCTTTAGCTGCAAACTGAGCCACAGCTAGCTGGAGGTCAGACACACAGGTACTTCCGCCTCACAGACAGACGGGTTTTATTAGAGCTCTGTTTCCGGTTGTCTTGAAACAGCTCGGCCTGCTTACCTGGACTTGGCTCTGCAGCAGCGGGGAACACCGGACCCGAACCTCCGTGAAGCTGCTCCTCCAGGGGCGTTAGGTTTCAGCACCGAGACTCCTGGACGGGTTACCGCCCGAAGCACCGCCCACACGGCTGGGACCATGGCCTGACGGAACACAAACCCAATCACAGGGACGGAGACAGGGCTGAGGGGAAAACCTGGACAGGATTAATGGCGGATTGGGGCTGACTACTTGGTCAAATGTGAACATGGTGATGACGTCATTGAACTAGGACAGCAGGGGTGCCTTCAGAAATGTATCAACGTGGTGGCCCAGTAGGGGGGCACTGAAAATCCACGGAAATTAAAAGGCAGAACATAATTTCAGAAATGTAATTATACTGTTCTTGTAAAATGATCATTTGAAAAATTTAACAAAATGAGTAAGGGAACTTCCAGCGGCTGGAGCTCAGTTTCTGATTTTATGGCCAATATTTCTGTTGATGTGAAAACACACAACAAGAGTCCAGTTTAAATGCAGCCTGTAATGCCATTACTTGTCTTTACATTTGGTTTCTGGTCATTTCCCCCAAAAAAATCTGATGTTCATCAATCAACCTTTATTTATACAGGTAAATCCCATTGAGCCTCGAGGACTCATTTACAAGAGAGACCTGATTTAACAAAGAAAGATGAGAACAATGGACAACAGCAACAACAATAAACAATTATTATCATCGTTTCGCTTATTTGAACAAGAACATTAAAGAAAACATTTAATAGAAATAACTCTTAATAATAAATAATAATAATTAATAAAGCTTTCTCAAGTTTAAAGCTACCACTTTGACTAATTCTTAAAAACAATAAAGAAAAAAATATATATAGTTTGTGTACTTTTGTGAACAAAATTTTTATAAAATATAGTGTAAAACTGAGAATAAAGACAAACACAACATTAGTATGTATAACAAAGTCCATGCTCAATAATCCAGGATTACAATCCAACATTTTTCAGTCAGGTCATCTGGACAGTTTCTTTTTTTTTGTTTCAGCACGAACTCATTTTCAATGGAGACCTGTTTGGGGAGCAGATGGGGGGGTTAGGGGTCTTGCTTATGGGCCCAGGGTGGGGCGAATCAGGGTGGGGGGCAAGTGTGGGTACTTCACCTACCCCACCCACAATTTATTTATTTATTTTTTGATGTTGTCGGGGCCGGGGCGTGAACCGTCGATCTTCCGATCACAGGCCCACCTCTCCAACCTCTGCGCCACCACTCCCCCTACTCATGTCCAGATGACCTGACTGAAAAATGTTGGATTAGTATGTACATTTACATTAAAATACAAAAAAGATGCTGCATAAAACCCGAGACCCTGCATGTTAAGTTTGGGGACATTGGTTTTAGGCCACTTGTCCTTTTTAAAGGGAACTAGATTTCAAGCTGTAGTTTTAACTTTAAAAAAAAAATCATATTTTTTAAATCGTAATTGATCAAACACAATGTTAGCATTTATGATTATTAGGTTCTACTGATAAAAACGTGAGCTTCAAACAGATAAAACTGCCTGGCCAAGGGGGGCCACAAGATTTTTCAGGGTGGCCAGTGCCCCTTCCACCCCCACCCTTGGTGGTGCCCCTGAGAGACAGGGCCTCTCAGGACTGCAGACCTGATCTGGACTCATGACCTGGTTTAAACCAGTTGTGTCAAACTGGTTGAAAACAACAAAGTCCATGCTCAATAATCCGAATCGAAGGTGAAACGTTTCAGCACAAAAAAAAAAAAAAAAAACTGTCCAATGACCTGACTGAAAAATGTCAGACCCTTCATTTGTGTTTCACGACCCACGTGGGGTCTCACAACAACCCTGTCTTTGGGGAACCAGTGCCTCTGGGAACAGTTTTAGGAATAAAGAATTTTAAATATTTCATGATAAAAGTCGTTATCCACAATTCTCTGAGCTGATTAAAACAGAGGGAGGCTTTTTAAATAATCAAACTTTATACAAAAGCTGCTCTCTTGTTAAACGAGTTAAATTGGACAGTGATGCACGTGTAACAGGCAAACTGATCCGTTCCGGTTGATCCACTTCCGGTTTTCCAGTTAACACAACACGCCATCGGCGTATTGAGCCGCCCAGGCTTCCAAAAACACACATAAGTACGCAACGCCTGTTACATTTCCGGTTCACACAGACACTGATAAAACAACACATACTTACAAAAGACATGCTCTAAATCAGGTGGACTAACAGCGTCTTTTAACCTGGGTTTTTTTGCGTTTGTTTATCGCAATATTTCTTAGCTGAACCCAAGTCCTCGTGCCCTGCTTGCTCCCAACGTCACGGATTTTCATTGGCTAACCAGTCGGCGGCGAGCGCCCATTGGTTCAAAAAGACTAAACACAAACCACGTGATGCGGAAGTGGATGCTAAATATGTGATGTGTCAATGTTAATGGATAAAAATCAGATACACGATAAAACTGTGGCTTGATGTTAACGACATCATATAAAAACAACATTTTTAAATTAACAGAATTGCGTAATATCACGCTTAAAAGGATAAAGCCCGCCCAATTCTGTTTTAGCTGCTGCGTGATGACTGAACGTCAGAAATGAAGGTGATCGATGTGGCAGCTAGCTAGCTGTACTAGCTTGTAGCTAATTTCCTGAAGTCTGACAGCAATGAACTCAGAGAGGCAGTGACAGTGGTGAGTGATTGCCTTGTTACTCTTATTTATATATGTATAACGGTGTCTTACGGGACCCAAATAATAAAGGTCAAAGCGGGTATTTACTTTATTAATTGTCCCAACATTGGTGAGCGTATTTAAGTTGTGTATTCAGACGCGTTTACTTCAAGTTTACGCTGTTTGTTTTGCTATTCCGTGCATTGTCCATCTGATAAGATAATCTAGAAGTAGACGGAGCATAAACCCAACTATAAATAAGTCGTTAACATAAAAAAATACTATCAATTAACTAGAGTTGCTTTTCTGTCCTCGACTTTACCGGTGTTACACTGAATTATGTGACCCCTCGCATCTGGGGCATGTCTGGGATTTTCAGCAGGCGACTCTAGCGAATAAACGTGTTTTAAAATAAAACAAATAAAACAGGCCGAGCTAGTCATAAAGTCTTGAAGTTTATTGGTGACCCAGAATAGTTCCTGAACAAACACTAACATAAGAAAACTCCACCATAGTTCAATACTCCACTGAAGCTAAAATATTTGTACTTTCAGCCAAAAGTTTGGAGCAGCATGGGGTTTATTATAAAGTATGAGGCATAAAATAATTATTAGTGTATTGAACAAACGATACAATTTCATTTTTTAAGTTAAAATTTTACATTACATTTTAGAAAAAATACAAGTAAATATATAAGATGTTTACTTTTCTTTAAAGTATCCTGCAGATTTTAGTTGTTGAGGAACATGGACTTGCTGTGTTTGGAGGGAAAAAGTAATAAACACCAAACTGCATGAAAGCCATCTTAATTATTGTCTTCCAATAAAAGGGAGAAGTGGGCAGTAATGTCTTTGTCATGTCTGTTTGTCTGATCTTACAAAGCACAACACTGTGTCTAACTCATGGACTGATCCCCAGCACGCGTTGTCATTGTGGAGGCTGTGGCTGAGTGGTTAGAGCAGTCGTCCTCCAATGCAGGAGTTGGGGGTTCGATTCCACCAGCAGTCACATGTTGAAGTGTCTCTGGACAAGACGCTGAACCCCTCATAGTGTCCGATGTGTGTCCCATCAGTGTGATAAAGCTCTGATTATTCTTTGTAGAGATCTAGTAGAGTGCTGCATGAATGGGTTAATGAGGAACAGATTGTTGTAAAGAACTGAGTGACTTGATAAGATAGAAAGGTGATGGATAAGTACAGTCCATTTGTCATTTACTCATTCTGAACATTAACAGATTACACAAATGTTTTATTTAAATGTTGCCAGTAACTATTTGAAGTTAGCTCTGTAAGTGAATTACATCATGAACCACTGGAGGGATTTTAATGAAACTTTCACAAAGTCATTACTCGCTCTAAAGGATGAGCAGAAACTGAATTTGAATTGTTCAGACTGAATCTGCTCGTAATCTGAAATTAAACCCACTGATTTGAAAATGTATTTCACTAAACTAAAAATGAATGAATCTGCTTTGAAACTGTATTTCGTTGTGTTGAAAATTCAGTTTGACTACTTTCATTTCAGTTCTATAATTCAGTTTCAATTCCAAAATTCAGTTTTTTGTGTCACACATCCGGGTCCTTGAGAAAGCCACGGAGTAATCCAACGCAGATTGACAGATTTGCGTTTCACTTCAGTGAAACTTCCTTTACGGTGTATTTTGAGCTCGAGCAGTGGTGCCACATGAACTGGGCATGAACTCGTGCACTGCTCCAGCTTGAAGTTCTTCTTCTTCGTTGGTGTTTTACAGCAGATTGTATCCACTCTGTTGCATCACCGCCTCCTTGAGACTGAACCCCACGCCTGCATTTCCGTAAAGGAAGTTTCACTGACGTGAAACGTAAATCTGTCAATCTGCGTTGGATTACTCCGTGACTTTCTCAGAGACTCGGATGTGTGACACAAAAAACTGAATTATAGAACTGAAAATGAAAGTAGTCAAACTGAAATTTCAATACAATGAAATTCAGTTTCAAACCATAAAATTGAGTGAAATTCACTTTTAAACCAATGGATTTAATTTCAAATTAGGAGAATACAGATTCAGTTTCCAACTGATGAACTTTTGGAGTCAAACCTATTCAAGATGGACGCCACAGTTCATCTACAATAATGAACAATAAATGAATATAATAACAAATAATGAATTTTGTATTGAACGTGTTTTGAGTTTACAATAATGAAGAGAAAAATGTCTCTAGTCTTTTCTACAGATGTTGGATGTGACAGCAGCTGAAAGTCATTCAGCTCATCCAGTGAGGCCCAGTTTAGACCAGAACAGCTGTATTTAAAAAAGCTTTTAGAGCGTCGAGCCTTTCATTGAGCGCAGTATCTGTTGGTGTTCCCACAGTTCCTCCCACAGCTGTTAACTCGTACATGACCTCCTTTTTATCTGCACACAGCTGGTGATAAGTGACAGGCCCAACCTGCAGCCAGTGGCCTTTGTTTACCTGCTCATCAGGTACGGTCTGAACGGGGGAGGAGCCACACAAGGTAGGAGGGATGCCTGTGGAGGGCGGTAGCAGCAGCGGCTCGACTTCGGCCTCACGTCACCCCAAGCAGAAGCGCAAGGCACACAGTTTGTCCATCCGGCGCACCAACAGCACAGAGGACAGGCCACCTGGCGTCTTGAGGGGAGACATGCTGGAGGGACAGGTGAGGACAGCACCTGTGACTTTTCCTAACACAGTTTGTAGCGCTCATAAAACCCCACATGTCATTCTTTAGTTAACTTTAATTGTTATGTTGCGAGGCTGCGTTGGTCCATCCTGAAGGTGCAGCACGGTCCGGTTGAGCTGCTTTTTGTTTTGGTGATGCAACCTTTGCACCTCCTTTCTTCAGAGCCTTAATGAGACGGAGTTTCTGCCTCCTGGGAACGTGACTGCTTTATCTCGGCTCTCGCTCGGGATCAGAATAGTATCTGTGTCATTTAGCTTCTCCAACAGTTCATCCAGTACGCCCTTTGGTTACTCATTTCTTTACGTGAAAACAAAGACGCCCTCTGTCGGGTTCTGCTTTTCACCAACTGGTGCCACCAAGTTTGTTATTAACTTTCTCCAAACTAGATAATTTGAATTAGGCCCACAATAGATTTTTGTGTGAAAGGAAGGCGTGTCAGTTCTTTCAACGAGCAGCCTCTTCACATCAGCTTCATGCCTGTTTCAGAGCCAGGCCGTAAAGAGTCTGCTCACTGCTGGGGGGCGGCTGCAGAGCCACCTCACAGATGAGAGTTTTCCATCGTGTCATCTGTTTCTTCTGTCATGTGAAATCTTCAGAGGTGAAACCTTTAGCTTTTACTTTTCCCAATACCCCCCCCCCTGCCCCGCCCCCCATCCCCAAATTATGAGCTGCTGAAGAAGCTGAGCTCAGCTTGCTCTGTTGTCTCATCAAATTTTCATATGGGCTGCTTGTCCGGGTCTGATTAGTTTTTTCAGCAGTCCTTTCTGTTTGCTGCCGAGACGGACTGGCTCTGTTTATCTACCCCCCCCCCCCCCCCCCAGCTTTATGAGGCTGTATACAACTCTGTTTTCTTCAACGCTCCCATTACTGACCAAAGTGCAGCTCAGGTTTTAACTAAGCAGCTTTGAGTTTCCTAACTTTTGTTCCCTGTCCGGCGTGTTGGTGCGTGGGACGTTCAGGCTGCAGACGTCTCTGTGGACTGAACTCACGGCTTCAACAGAGAGCGTGGCAGGTTTCTGTTTGTATGGACGCTCTGTGTGTTAGTCTGCGTCAAACCGGTGAGCAGCTGGTCACTGGGAGATCAAGGAGGAGTTCTCCATGGAGGTAAGGCGTCATGTCAGGATTTTATAGTTGCTGCTGGCGCCCAGAGACGAACACTTACGAAGCGATGGTTATTGAAGAAGTTTCCTCAGTAGCGATGATGCAGCGCAGCGGACATGAACGTTACATCTGAACAATAAATAAATGTTACTCTTGTGGGTGATGCTGTCAGTCTGAGCTTATTTAGAGTTCTCTGTCTGCATCCAGGACTCCAAGCTGCCCTTCGCGCTGCGCAACAACCTCCTCGACCTCTTCAGTCAGATCGAGCGCGAGTTCGAGAACCTCTACATCGAAAACCTCGAGCGTGAGTTTCTGAACACGTGATTTACTTTTCCATGGAGGGATATGTTCAATATCTTGATTGGGGGTTCTGTTGAAACGTTATGAACAATTACTGTCTTACCTGTTGTAGATATTTAGTTGGACGACCTCAGTTTGGAGAAAGCAAGTTTAATTCTGACAGAAATGACGACAACCGTCTCGTTCAGACGGGACCAGAGTGGATCAATGTTGTCTTAACAATGTTTCATTCATCTTTACACTGCTTTCATTTTCACCAAACTTCATTAATTCTCTAGAAGTCTCTGGTTATTTGCAAACACACATAGCATCAGCAGCTGCTGCACAACTTCCTGGAGCCTTTTCCGTCTGATCTGCTAAATAAATGTGTTACTGAGAGAATCCTGTTTGCACTAAATACACTAACATTTAGAAACTGGAGTTGTGTGACGATGGCAGGTGGGTCGGCTGTGATTGGCCAATATTGGCACATCTGGACTGTCCTAGCTGACCTCCTTCCAAAGTGCATCACCGCCATTTTAAGGCTCTGCTGCTGTTGGACACTAGTTAGTGACTGAAAAGTGTGAGAAAATACATGTTTGCCATTTGAGTCTCACTCAGTTCTGTTTGCATCAGAGGGATCAGAGAGCCGCGTGGCCGCCGGCCGCTTGACTTCTGGCTTTTCAAAGTCTTGGCTTTTCTGTGCGCACGATTTGCAAACCTGCACACGTTGTTTTGTTCACATCGTACCCTCCTCAGCCTGCTTTGCAGCCACCTTGGCAGTAGGGCTGGGCGATCTGGACCAAAACGAATATCTCGATATTTTAAGATAAATCGCGATATACAATATATATCTTGATATTTTTTTCTTTCCATAAAGTTATAACAAAAATATATTTCCGAGTCAAAGGTTTGTCCCAGTTGTCACACAGGCACATTTATTAACAAAACAGCTGTAACGCCACAAAATAAATCTCTAAAAAATAAACTATCTGCATATATTAAATAATAATCGTCAGCTGCGCCACCTTCACTACATCAGTAAGCATGTGTGAAGTTGGACGGGCAGAAAAAGGAGAACTGCATGGATTTTCCAGTCTTACAGTGGGAGGTGGTGCGACATTAATAAAGCAGCAGCTTTTCATTTCAATAAAGACACAGTCCTTAGCGGCTAACAAGATGGCTAACTTTAGCTGTCTTGTTCCACAGTTGAGACTGGTACCGTGTCTTTAGCGATATGATAAGTTGCTGCTTTATTCATGTTGCATCACCTCTCACTGTTCCTCTCATGCACGGCTAAATGAGTTTTATGCTGTGGTTTGTTTCAGGGAAGGAGGCTGAAAACAGTCGGAGCTGCAGTTTCACACACGCTTCATCCTCCACTTATAGCTCTGTTTTAAATGGTGAAGAAGATTCGTAGGGCCGACCTTTAGTTGGGACTTGCTTTCGGCATTGTCTACAGAAAACATTTTTCTGCTGCTCATCTGACAATTTAAATCCAAACCATCTCCGAATATATCCCATCATCCCATCAGTGTTAACTTGTTGTGCTAAACGTTTCCCGCCCACCTGTAGAAGCAGGAAGTGGGGGGAGCTGTGTTTGTATTCAGTGAGGGAGAAGGAGGAGCCGCGTACAATTGGTGCAAACTGGAGAAAAAGAACTACACGGATTTTCAAGTCTTAATTCTAATGCAACATAGATGATATAGTCCCATCTAATATCACATATGAAATTCTCGATATTTTTGAAATATTGAGATATCGCCCAGCCCTACTTGGCAGACGCCACATAAATTTAGTTTTCTTGGCATTTAAGGACAAATTTAAGTCAGTAAATACCTGCTGGATTTGAAGAAACCCACATGCCAGGGACTTCACAACCTCACCCAGAGTAGAACCATAAACATATAAAATAGTGTCATCGGCGTATAAATGAATTGAGCCTCACTAACAGAATGACGTGAAGCTGCTGGAGTACACGTTAGAACTGAAGCCAGGCACATTAGGACCATGTTTTAAAATAATAATAATTATTGTTGTCAATGTAGTCTTTAGTCCTAAACATGCAGGTGTTAAAACCAGACCTGGCTCTTTGGAGAGGTGGTGCTCACCCTGGACAGGTCACGAGTCCATCACAGAGACAAACGGGTCACACATCTCCTCACACCTAACCTGCATGCTTATGGTCAGGGTTATTCTGAGAGAAAATTTGCTGCACTGATTCTTTTAACATGTTCAGTTTTCAAGCCATGAGACTGTGAACCTCTGCTGTGAGGAAACAGAACCGTTAGAAAACCTCCATCAGTTCTGGAGACAGCTGGCCCAGAGGTGCCACACTGCAGATGTTTTTAACCCTTTACACAGCTGCCAGGTTCACCGTGCACGGCTGTTCCACCACAAAGGTTGTGTAGTTCCTGCAGGAAATGCCCCCAGGCTGCACTGGAAGTGCTACAGCTTGCTGCTGCTGCTGCTGCTGCCACTGTTTAGCACTCACACAAAACGTGACGCAAACAAAGATTGTGTAAAAGATTTAATAAACAGAGTTCGTGTGAACCACCATGAGACTTTGGAGATGAACCTTAGCTTTGATCTCGACTGCCTTCAGACTAGCCTTTAGCTCGTCCGCATGTCAGAACAAAACTGTCCAAATTGAGCAGTTTCTTTGGGAATGGGTCGGCGGGCTGTTGTACAAAGAACGTTTTGATTTGCCTGTATTGTTACCAGTCATTAGTTTTAAGTCCATAAATCAGACTTTTTAAACACAACAACCCTCAGAATGTGATGAAGGTAATAAAACTCCACAAAACATGTTTGTGTTTGTACAGCATGGTGACATTCATAAGGTTGATACTTAAACATTATAGCTCAGCTAGTCCTTTGCACAGAACAAAATAACAAAAAATTACTATTTATGTTTGTCAGACTGACAGATTTCTGCCTTCCAACGACTTTATTTCTCAGATCATTTAGTTGCCATATTGTTTTTTCATGAACTTTCCACAGAACCCTGCTTCAAATGTCTGAAATGTCCCTTTAAGTTGTTGTTTTCTGACCTGCTGTGTTGCTCTGCTCAGTGCGTCGGGAGATCGAGTCTCTGAACGAGCGTCTGACCGGAGATGGACAGGTGGTGGACGGGGGAGATGCGAGCAAGGCGGCCCTGAAAGCAAAAGGTCCAACTCCCACTCTGTTAACTTGTTTTATTGAATTTGGCTCCGCGGCTCCTCAGAGGTTTGTTTCATCGGCTTGTTTGGAAAAAGGAGGATTATCACATTTCGTTTAACCTCCTGACACGGCTCTGAAACGTCCAGTCAGCTGACTCACGCAGCTTTCCTTCTCTCTGGGCTCTTTGGACTTACAGCTGTTCTGTCAGAACTTACACTCGGCTAGAGAAACTGCATTTCCTGCTAAAATGCAGTGTGAATGCTTATTGCTGAAGAACTGGCTGAAATTAGCTAAAAACATGCTGAAATGTAGCTGAAACAGAACAAGAAGCCGTGGTCTGCTTAGCAGAAGAAAGCAGAAAGAACACATATTAGCTGAATTATGTTTAAATAAGCAGAAATGAACACACATTTAGGGAATTAGCTAAAAATGCTGAATTTAGAAAAAAAATTGCTGAAAAGTAGAAGAAAAAGCAGAAAGAAGCTCAAATTACCAGAAGGAAGTGGAAGGAGGTGAAATGAGCTAAAAATGTGAATTTAGATGAAAAAGCTTAATGTAGCACAAAAATGGCCATATAGTAGCTGTAATAGCAGAAAAAGCTGAAACTATCAATAAAAAGCTGAAAGGAGCATAATGAGCTGAAATTAGCAGGAAGACGTTACCGTATTTGGGCAGAAAGCAGCAGAAATTACCATGAAAAACTTGAATTATTTTGAAAACAGCTGAAATTAGCTTAAAATTTATATATTAAAAAAACTACATGGAAAAGGTAAAACAAACTTAAATTAGCAGAAGAAAGCAGAAAGAACATGTTTGCACGGTTAGGCTGAAAGAAGCAGAAATGAGCACAAAAAGTGAAAAGTGTCCCAAAAAAGCAGAAATTAGCAAAACAGCTGAAAAGTAGCTAATAAAGCTTAAATTACAAGACGGAAGTGGAAAGTACATTTTGCTGAATTAGGCTGAAAAAGTAGAAATGAGTGCAAAAAATTTAGAATTAGGTGAAAAAGGTAAAATTAGCATAAACAGCATAGTAGCTAAAATAACTGAAACTAGCATAAATAAGCTGAAAGAAGCATAACAAGCTGAAATTAGCAGAAATAAGTTAAGAAGCACAAAAATGTTGTAGTCAACAGAAAGAAGCTGAAAGGAGCACAAAACAGCTGCAACAACAGCTGAAAGAAGTTGAAGCAGAACAGAGTGAAAGGAGCAGTAATAGTTTTTAAACACATCTAAAGATGTGAAGGATGTGAAATGAGCTCAATTCATTTTCTATGAGGAAAAGAAGTGTCAGAAAAGGCTAAATACTTCAAAAAGCTAAAGTTGCACCAATACCAAAAGTCATGTCATGGCAGGATGGTCCTGAAAGAGCTGAACGTTTTGGTTTATGATTTGTTGAAATAGTAACACGCTGTGGAATGAGAACGGTGCTGGAAAACGTACAGAAGATAAATGGATCCCAGTAGAGTGAAAGCTTCAGAAACATCACTGTATTAGAAACATGAAGCTTTGTCCCGTTTGTTTTCACGTGGAGCTCCTGCAGGCCTGAACCCATCCACAGAGCCCCTCACTCACTGCGTTTCTTTTTGTTTCCCACAGCGAGCCACAGCACCAGTCAGCTGTCCCAGAAGCTGAAGACGACGTACAAAGCCTCCACCAGCAAGGTACTCCACCACCACTCCAAACATGGTTTCTGCCTGAGCTCATAGTTTCCTGTTAAACAGCCTCCATGTTGCTGAGTGAGAGATAGAAAGCTCCTTTTTCCTCCTTAAAGGTCACAATGTGTGGGATAAAAATAGCTTTTTATAAATATTTGTTTTTGGAACGATACCTTAATGTGTTTAAAGTGTTGAGAGACAAGAAATGGTGCTCACAAAATGTCTTCTTCCTTTCTGCCGAGGTAGCGCTTGTACACTTTCCAGGACAAAATAGGTGGAGCTCGCAACTTCAATATGGCCCCTTGGGAGTTGTGGGGTGGAGATTCCTGGGTAACTTCCTGATTGTTGTGAAGTGTTGACTTTGAGCTGCTGGCTGAGTGTCTGACCTGCAGTCCCACCTTGACTCCTCACCTCTGCTCTGCGACAAAAATGGCTGCTCGGCTGCATTTGTTGTAAAAAGAGTTCGTTAAACCTTCAGCCATACATAAACCTCCGACCTCTGTCGTCTCTTCAACGTCCTGCTCACACTCAAAGCTCAGAGTTAAAGAGTCATTTTACATTCTACAGGTCAGGATTACTGGTGCTTGTGCTGGGGGTCCTCAGACAAAGCATCACGTCATGGGGGGGGGTGCGCGCAGGTCGGTTCTGTTGACGGGGCAGGACCGCTTGTATAATGTTAGGGAAACACTGAGTAGAGAAACCATGAGTGAGGGAGGTAGATGTCATGAAGACCTGGGGGGTTCACCTGTCTGTGTGAGTCACGAGGACCCACCCCCCAAGAGAGACCTGTATTGGGCAACTATGTGAGTGCCCGGGTGTGATGAAACTAAATGGTTTTTGGCGGCAGGAAGTTCAGTAGCCCTTTTTTTTTTTTAAATCCATAAATTATCCGCAGCGTTGTTTAAGCTGTGGGCTTCAAAGTGAATGAAAACAGTATCGGCTTATAGACCGGACATTACGGTAGTTCTGGAGGCATCATTGGTGTAGTGTGAGGAAGACTTCTGCTCCTTTCTTCATCCTTCTCCATGCTCTGTGACTGATGCCACAGCTGATTAAAACCCGCTACTGAACTGTCTGACAGACCATCACTTCTAAAACCACCAGACTCTGCTGACCTCACACAACGTTCTCTGACGGTGCAGCTCTGTTTTAAGTGGAGAAATGGTGTAGATGCAGTGGAAGCTGGAGTCATTGCTGCTCTGACTGATGGAGCAGACGTCACAGGATCAGGGGAGGAACGTGTGCATGAAGCTGCTGTCAGATGCAGCTTCAGAACACCCAGCAGCTCAGGAGCAGAAACTAATCACCGACTCTGGCTGGGGGGCTGGCGGTGCTCATTTCTCACTGTGTTTGATGCAAATAGGATTGAGATGTTGTGTGGTGTGAACATAAATAGTCCAGACTTCATGTGTGTGTGCACTAACGGTCTGCTTCTATTAGTTACTGCATCTAACAGCAGCCTGTGCTCTGAGCTGTGGCTGAAACCACTCTTCACCTCTAACTTTGTTCACGCAGCTCTGAATCCACACCTCATGGTCCTTTAGAGACGCAGCACTCCTGTCTGAGCACCTGCTTTGACTTCTCACCACTTTGTTGTAACCAACTTCAGTGCATTTAGAAACATCTGACTTTTTTTAATATGTCAAAACAGTGCTTGTGTTTCATTATATTTTATTATAAAATTCAGTTCAGTTTATTTATGTAGCACCAAGTCACAGCAGGAGTCCTCTTCATATGAACAATCTACAATCAAGTACTGGACAGAGGTCAGACAGTGATGGGAACCTTCTCTTCAAAACATAAAACCAAAAACGATATGACATTTATATTAATCATCTTGATTTGTTCATGCACATCCATCTGCATGTGTGGCCTGCAGCACATTCATTAAAAGGAGTATTGGTTAAAGTGATAGTGAAGTTAAACCCCACCCTGGCCTTTCACCTGGTTGAAGTCTGGGTTTCAACCTCAGGCGCTCGTGGATAAAATCCACCGTCAGGCCTGGCTTCAGAACGCTGCCTCGATATCCTCCTTCTGGGCAGATGTGGAGCAGCTGGATCAGAGTCAGCTCCTCTAAGTCAAATGAAACGGTTCTCAACCGTAGGGTAGGATGACCCTGGGCCCGGGTCAGGACTGAGTTTTTGCTCCACGTCGTGGAGTTCAGGTGTCGGGGCGTGTTTTTCAAGAGTAAGATGGACTGATGGGTCCATGCACCAAAGCTCATGCTCAATATCCCAGCTATAAAGTCCTGCAATGTTCAGTCAGGTCAACTGAATGTTGTTGTTTTTTTGTGCTGAGATGTTTCATCCATCACTTCTTCAGTCTGAAGAACCACCAAACAAAACTGATTCTCCACCAACAGCCTACTCCAGAGTGGGAAAAAAACAGTTATGCTGGTGCTAAGATGGTCTCTGGGGCACACCCTCTCCTCCATGATGGGTCCATGCTTTGACTGCAGGGTGGGGTGGGGGGTTGCTCCGGCTCTCTGTGGGAAGGATCTGAACCAAACGATGACGGTCTTGATTTACGGGTCTGTCTGGATTCTGTTTCTCACCTACGATCATGAGATGTGGACCGTGTGATCCCAGTACAGGCAGGAGCTTCCTTCATGGGTGGTCGGGCTCAGCCAAAGAGTCGAGGTGAGGAGTCGGCAGAGTCTCCTCCTTCTGGTGCACTCCGAGCTACAGACAGAAGAGACTGGTGATGGTCCAGAGATGGGACCAGGTTGTTTTAGTGTTCTTGTCGAGGCTCGTTTCCACTTCAAACAGAGAAATCCAGATTGTAAAGAAACACAAGCAGACTTCAAGTTAACTGTTCTGAGCAACATTTATACTTTAGAAACAATCCTTGATTTTATCTACATTAATAAAATGAGAAGGAAGAAACTCCAGCTGATGAAGTGACCCGCCTGCAGCGCAGAAAGTGTCAGGAATTTATAAATAATAATAAATGTAACCTGTTTTTTTTTCCTTCAACTTTTCAGTGAGTTTGCAGAAGTCAGGACAGAATAACATCTGAGACGTTTTCTTACTCGGTCACTACAATGTGGACTGGCAGCTGTGTTTGGTTTCAGGATGTGTTACAGTTCTCATGTACATGAACAGAGGATATAAAAGATTTAAAAAATCATATGCAAACTGTAACAAAATATAAACCTTAAATTTACAACAATGTCCCAGCAGAAGATGCCATACCACTTGATTTATAAAGCAGTTAAAAACAGCAACAAGGCCGACCTAAGTGCTGTACAGCAGAAACAATCAAGCAAAGGACACAGGATAAAATACATAGATCCACAGAGGTGAAGATAAGAACTAAATGACTAAGATTATAGAATACAGACAAGTTAAAATCAACTCGCAGTGTCAAAAGCCAGGGGAATAAAAGTGAGTTTTCAAACAAGACTTAAAAACAGTGAGAGAGGGCCTGCCTGACATGTAGCGGTAACTCATTCCACAGTCTTGGACATGCAACAGAGAAGGTTCTGTCACCTCTGAACTTAAGATGAGTTCCTGGAACCAATCGAAGCATCTGGTCTGCTGACCTCAGAGATCGCTGTGGGACATATGGCTGCAGCAGATCAGTGAGATAGGAGGGGGCAGAACTGTTGAGAGAGTTAAAAACATACAGAAGGATTTTAAAATGAATTTGAAAGTGAACTGGGAGCCAGTGAAGGGAGGCCAGAACTGGAGTAATGTACTCTCTTTTGCCAATACCAGTTAAAAATTGGGCTGCAGCATTTTGAACCAGTTGTAAACGTTTGATAGAGACGAGGCTAGAGAGGAGAGGTCGATGCAGTGGTTCTTGATTGGACCATTGGGAGGAAACATGACTTCAGACTTCTCATTGAAATTTAAGACATTTAAATATGTAATTCTAACATTATAAAGAGGTCTTGTACTAATTACGATGCACTTAGAAGCTAAAAAGAGTTTCTGCAGCAGGAAGAGCCGTTATAAGATTATTTAACAATCAGAATGCACAACACATGAGCAGCAGCGTTTGATTAAGTTGTAGCATTTTGTTCTGTGCTAAACCCAGAGTGCTCATGTAATCCTGCAGAAACTGGACTTAACAATAATACATACATGTACATAATTTCACTCTACCACATGTACCACATGTGGTGCGAATGACAGTAAAGAATCTCTGACTCTGACTGACAACTAGAGAAAATGTATTTCCTGTAAAAATGGTGTGTTAATGGTTATTGCAGAACTTGCTGAAAAACAGCTGAAATTAGCTAAAACATGCTGAAATGTACAGTAGCTAAAATGGAAGAACAAACTCAAATTAGCAGAAGAAAGCAGAAAGAACACATATTTGCTCAATTAGGTTTAAATGAGCAGAAATGAGCACGAAATTAGCTAAAAATAGCTGAAAATGTTAAAAAGGCTGACAAGCAGCTGAAAAGGCAGAAAGACGCTTAAAATACCAGAATGAAGCAGAAGGAGATGAAATTATCTAAAAAAATGTGGAATTAGGTGAAAAGGTGAAAGTTAGCATAAAACTGCTAAATGCTAGCGGAATAAGCTGAAACTAGCTGAAAAAAGCTGAACGGAACATAACACGTTGAAATTAGCATAAAGAAGTTAATTCAGCTGAAAGCAGCAGAAATTACCACAAACCCTTGTAATTCATCTGAAATTGGCTGAAATTAGCTTAAAAATTCTAAAAGAAAAGTAGCTAAAAAGGTAGAACAAGCTTTAATTAGCAGAAGAAAGCAAAAAGAAAACATGTTTGCTGAAAGTAGCAGAAATTAGCACAAAAAAGTGGAAATTATTTGAAAACGCTGAATTTGGCAATAAACAGGTGAAAAGTAGCTAAAAAGGCAGAAAGAAGCTGAAATTACCAGAAGGAAGTGGAGAGAGCACATTTTTGATAAAGTAGGCTGAAAAAAGTTTAAATGAGTGGGGAAAAAAAATGTAGAATTAGCTGAAAAAGCTTAAATTAGCATTAAAACAGCTGAAAAAGTAGCTGAAATGGTAGAAAATCTGGAACTAGCAGAAATTAACTGAAAGGACCATAACAAGCTGAAATTAACAGAAAGAAGTTAGATGAAGCACAAAAAATGTTCTAGTTAGCTGAAATAAGCTGAAAGGAGCTGAAAAAGTTTAAATTTGCAGAAGGAAGCAGAAAGTAGCTGAAGCAGAACAAAATGTAAAAGGAGCAGTAAAAGGTTAACAGCTCTAAAGATCTCCATCCATCCATCCATTTTCTTCCGCTTATCCGGGGTCGGGTCGCGGGGGTAGCAGCCTAAGTAGGGAGGCCCAGACTTCCCTCTCCCCAGCCACTTGGTCCAGCTCCTCCGGGGGAATCCCGAGGCGTTCTCAGGTCAGCCAAGAAACATAGTCCCTCCAGCGTGTCCTGGGTCTTCCTCTGGGTCTCCTCCCGGTGGGACGTGTCCGGAACACCTCACCAGGGAGGCGTCCAGGAGGCATCCTAACCAGATGCCCAAGCCACCTCAACTGGCTCCTCTCGACGTGGAGAAGCAGCGGCTCTACTCTGAGTCCCTCCCAGATGATCGAGCTTCTCACCCTATCTCTAAGGGAGAGCCCAGACACCCTGCGGAGAAAACTCATTTTGGCCACTTGTATCCGAGATCTTGTTCTTTCGGTCACAACCCAAAGCTCATGACCATAGATGAGGGTAGGAACGTGGATCGGTCGGTAAATTGGGAGCTTCGCCTTTTGACTCAGCTCTCTCTTCACCACGACAGACCGGTACAGCGCCTGCTTCACTGCAGACACTGCACCTATCCACCTATCGATCTCACCTCCATTTTTCCCTCATTCGTGAACAAGACCCCTAGATACTTAAACTCCTCCACTTGGGGTAGGACCTCCTCCCTGACCCGGAGAGGGCACTCTACCCTTTTCTGGCTCAAGACCATGGCCTCAGATTTGGAGGAACTGATCTTCAGATCTAAAGATCTGAAGATCTTCAGATCTAAAGATCTGAAGGATGTAAAATGAGCTCAATTCATTTTTTATGAGGAAAAAAATGGCAGAAAAGGCTAAATATTTCAAACAGCTAAAGTTGCACCAATACCAAAAGTCACAGCAGGATTGTCCAGAAAGAGCTGAACGTTTTGGTATATTGTTATGAATAAAGCCGAGCTGCACCCAAACAACTCTGATCTGATGCACAGTATTGATCTGCTCGTCTAATATCAGCTCAGCCTGAAACGTGACCATGTGATTACTTCAGTAACAGAGTTGTTTGCTGCTAACTAACTAAACGATTTAAGCGTTATTGTGGTATCCGAAAAAGTTCAATCTGGTCCTCTGGACATTCAAAAAAACAAAAGCAAAACAAAGCAAAAAAAAATCTAGAAACGTTTCGTCTCTCATCCAAGAGACTTCCTCAGTCTGAGGTGCTGTTTTCAGCTCAGTCTCTTAAATAGCACCTTCTTGGAGTGGATCAACCAGTTTTGCTGCTGACAACCAAAACCAGCTGATCACATGCTCAAGAAGGACCATCAGCCTAACAATGGATCATTAGCACACTGATGGCTGTTTACTACTCACAGAGGGCTGAGTGATACTAGCAATCACAGCATTGTAAGAGGGGGACAGTTGAACCCGGAGGCCTCCACCCCTGTTTAATGATGGACGGTTTCTTTTCACAAAGATGGCCTCCTTTACTCCTCTCTCAAACCATCGTTCCTCTCTGTCCAGGATGTGAACATCTTCATCCTTGAAAGAGTGACCGCTGGCCTGGAGATGAGTGTAGACCGCAGAATCCTGGCCTGATGATGTTGATCTTCTGTGCTGGGCCATCCTTTTGGCCAGTGGCTGTTTAGTTTCCCCCGATGTAAGACTGATCACAGCCCTCCTGACACTGAACAGCATACACAATATTACTCTGTTTGTGCCGGGGGACTGGATCTTTGGGATGAACCAGTCTTTGCCGTAATGTATTTTGGGGTTTAAAAGCCACTGGGATGTTATGTTTGGAAAATAAACGTCTCAGTTTCTCTGATACCCCCTCAACATATGGAATGACCACGGTCTGGGTCTGGGTTCCTCCTTTTCACCTGATGGCTGACTGGAGTCCTGTTTGGGTTTCTTCTCTGCTTTCAGGAAGGCCCAGTTAGGATATCCACATTGCTCTAGAGCCTGTTTTGTGTAGGATTTCTCCTTCTGCCTGGCTCCAGAGCTAGTGGGGATGCTGTCTGATCTGTGATACAGAGTCCTGATGACTCCTAACTTGTGCTCCAAAGGGTGATGGGAGTCAAACTGCAAATACTGGTCTGTGTGGGTGGGTTTGCGGTAAACCTCGGTTTGCAAATGTCCTCTATCCGAGACTGAGACCTCACAGTCCAAGAAAGCCAACTTGCCATTTTTTACATCTTCTCGTGTGAACTTGATGTATTTATCCACAGAGTTGATGTGGTCAGTAAAATGTTGGACTTCCTGAGATTTAATTTTAACCCAGGTGTCATCAACATACCTGAACCAATGACTTGGTGGTGTCCCTGAAAAGGACGTCAAGGCTCTCTTTTCTACCTCCTCCATGTACAGGTTGGCAACAATAGGAGAAACTGGAGACCCCATAGCACACCCATGTTTCTGCCTATAATATTGCTCCCCATATGTGAAGTAGGTTGACTGCAGGCACAGTTTCAAGAGTTGACACAGTTGTTCTGTGGAAAGCGTGGTCCTGCTGCTCAGAGTGGTGTCTGATTTTAATCTTAAACTGACCACCTCTACTGCATCATCAACAGGAATGCACGTAAAGAGTGATGTGACATCAAAAGAGACCATTGTTTCATCAGTCTCCATGATGACATCCCTCACCTTATCCACAAAGTCCATGGTGTTCTGTATGTGGTGTTCTGAGCTGCCAACTAAAGGGATGAGTACAGACGCCAGATATTTGGAAACATTGTAAGTGACAGAGTTAATCATGCTAACAATTGGTCTTAAAGGTACACCTTGTTTGTGGATTTTAGGTAAACCATACAGACTAGGTGTGGCCTCCCCTGGGTACAGTCTGTGGTACAGAATACGGTCAATAGCCTTGTCCTGCTCCAAATTTTTCAGGCAATCTATTAACTTCTTCTTGTAACCACTTCCTGGATCTCTTTTCAGAGGTTCATAAGTGGTTAAGTCACTAAGGAGTGTCATAACTTTCTCATGATAGTCTTTCTGGTTCAAAATCACTGTGCACCTTCCTTTGTCTGCTGGGAGAATGATGATGTTTTTGTCCTTGCTAAGAGTGGTGAGTGCATCCCTCTCCTCTCTACTGATGTTGGAAGGTGGTGGTTTGGCATTGCTGAGGCAGGATGAAACTTTGATTCTGAGCTGTTCTGCTTCAGCCTCTTTCATTTTGTTATTGTGGATGGCTGATTCTGTGGCTGTGATCAGCAGCAAACTGGTTGATCCACTCTAAGAAGGTGCTATTTAAGAGACTGAGCTGAAAACAGCACCTCAGACTGAGGAAGTCTCTTGGATGAGAGACGAAACGTTTCTAGATTTTTTTTGCTTTGTTTTGCTTTTGTTTTTTTGAATGTCCAGAGGACCAGATTGAACTTTTTTGGATTTTTCTACCTGGATTATTGAGCATGCATCAGGAGACGTTATTGTGGTAGTTTGGTATTTCAGAAGTCTCGTCCCTTCTTCTGCAGATTGTGTCCAGTTTCAAAGCCACGGCCGGCTCCCGGGCTCTGTGCCAGCTGCTGAAGGAGTATGTGGGCCACCGGGATGGTATCTGGGACCTCAGTGTGACCCGAACGCAGCCTGTGGTGCTTGGCACCGCCTCTGCAGGTACACCACCATTTAATAAAGACCATAGACATGTAATGTTTTTATTGTACACACACACAGTGGAAGAGAACGGTGGTAAAGGTGCTGCAGGTGATATTTACACCTATACATCACTGTCTGATTAAGTATGATGCTGTTTTGGTGCAAAATTCAATAAATGAGAGTCATGTTTATTAAGATTAATGGCCTCTGCTACACACACGACTTGTTTAGTGCAAATGTTTAAGGGAAGTCATGGTTAAGAATTAAGGCACTATTCTGCCCCTGCTTGTATGTGAAGACAAGCTCGACAGATAGACAACAGTCTTCCTGAAGAAAAGCCATACGCTGGGATTCTCTTCCAAGCTTTACTGAAGACTCACCGTAAAACTGAAAGACAAACGATGAAACGTGTCTCAGTTACATTTGGTTTCTGAACGCATTTATGGAACACTATGTATTAAATGAATAAACCTGGCCCGCTAGCTTAATGCTAACTTCTATGGAAAAACTCATGTAGACGCTAAAGGTTTGGTTTCTATCAGGGTCTGGGGAATCACGGTGTTGAAGGTGGATGTGAAGTGCACAAAGAGCATACGGACGTAGGAGTCCTTCTGCTCCAGGTGGGTGAGAACAGTGTGGAGCACAGAGTAGATGGCATCTTCTGTTGATTGATTCTTGCGGTATGTGTACTGGTGAAGGTCCTCGCTAATGTTGATGGTTGTTTTGATGTGGGTCATGACCAGTGTTTCAAAGCATTTAACGACTATTGGGGTGAGGGCCACTGGCAGATAGTCATTCAGACCAGTCACTGTGGAGCTCTTAGGAACTGGGATGATGGTGGCAGTCTTCAGGCAGGTGGGAACATTTGCCAAGGTGAGGGAGGCATTAGAGATGTCTGCCAGCACCTCACCGTCTTTCAGCACCTTCTTGTTGTCTGCACCAGTTGCTGTGTGAGGATTAATCCTCCTGAAGGTCTTCCTTACTTCTGCTGAGGTCACGCTGAGGAACTCCTCTTTAGATGGTGAGGTGAATCTGGTGCTGGGTGGTCTATTTGGGTCTTCAAAGCATGCAAACAACCTGTTAAGAGCATCAGGCAATGATGGGCCCTTAGGGGTTTGTGCACCTCTGCTTTTATAGTCTGTGATGCACTTAATGCCCTTCCACATGCTCCGTGGGTCTTGTGAGGAGAAACGTCCCTGGATCTTCCATGTGTAAGTTGCTTTGGCCCTCTTAATACCAGTAGCCAGCTCTTTCCTTGTCCTCCCAGTTCCTGTGAGTCGCCAGACCTGAAGGCAGTATCCCTGGCTTTCAGCAGGATATGGACCTCTGCGTTCAACCAGGGTTTCTGGGTCTGGAATGTCTCAGCGTGGGGAGGTAGATGGGGGCCATAAAGATGGAGAATGTGGTCAGAGAGGCTGAGGTGGGGCTGGGGTATGGCTTTGTATGTGTTTCTTATGTTAGTATATACACAGTCTAGTGTGTCATTTCCCCGTGTTGGTATGATGACTAAAGGTACAAAATAATGTTGCTGCGACAGTCATGACCACCAGAGGTCCTCCTCTTTACTGTTACTGACAGAACATCACTGGCACTCTTATTATTTTTTTCATGCATCACAATTTTGAATTTGCTGCTCTTCATGCAACTTTTGAAAATAACATGCACAAAATACCAATGGATGTGGCTCGATATCTGGAATAATGTGCTACTCTGTCGTAGATGGAATTTGCAATGAACTTTATGTACTTCCACCGAGAACACAAGGGGAAAACAAATGTTAAAACCCAGTTTTATCCTGATTCATGCTCGATAATCCAGGTAGAAAATCCAACAAATTTAGAAAACCCAGTTCTGTTTAGAGCTCTGACTCCAACTTCACATCACGGAATGTTTTCACAGGTCGCAGGCAGACAGGCTTCACTCTGAGCAGCCATTTTGTCTCCTTTTAATAGGTTTTTACACAGTTTGAGTTTGATGAATTAAAATGTTCAATTCAGTTTATTTAAATAGCGCCAAGTCACAACAGAAGTCATCTCAGGGCACTGAACAAAAACACATTTATAAAAAGTCAGTTAATATCAATCAACCTTTTATTTATACAGGTAAATCCCATTGAGCCTCGAGGACTCATTTACAAGAGAGACCTGATTTCAACAAAGAAAGATGACAACAATGGACAACAGTAACAACAATAAACAGTTATAAAAACTCATACTACAGTTTTTTATTTATTTATTTATTTATTTATTTATTTATTTTTTTTTTTTTTAACAAATAGGATGGCTAAAAGGAAAAAGGTAACAAAACAAAAAACAGCTAGATTCCAAGACAAATGTAGAAAACTAAAAACAGGAACATGTCTGCATTGGACCCTGCCAGGAGTCCAACAGATTCTTAAAGACACTTAGAGAGGTCAAGGTCGAGAGCTTCAAATCTTTTTGTAAGATATTCCAGGAAACAGGAACAAAGTAGGAGAAGGCCTTTTTGCCTAGTTCAGTCCTCACTGAGGGAACACTGCAGGTAATAATGTCCTGAGAGCGCACTCCGTAGCTGCACTCACGCAGAGACATGTAGGAGGAGATGTATGAAGGCAACAGACCAAGAAGTGATTTAAAGATGAAAATGTACCAGTGATAGAGTCTGCGTGAAGTTAATGATGTCCAGTTAACCAGTGAATACAGGGTGCAGTGGTGGGTACGATAATCACAGCCAGTTATGAATCTTAGTGCACCATGATAGACAGCATCCAACATCTGCAGGGTTCTTGTAGGAGCGTTCATGTAAATAATATCACCAAAATCAATTGATGGAAGGAAAGTCACAGATACAAGGCATTTTCTAGCATTCAGGGTTAGACAGGATTTGTTTCTGAAAAAGAAACCCAGTTTAACTTTCAGTTTCTTTACCAAGTTTTCCACATGGAGCTTAAAAGAAAGATGTGAGTCGACCAAGATACCCAAATATTTATAGGAATCAACAAACTCAATGGGGACACCATTTGAGGATAAAATCGGAGGAAGAACTGCTGGGACCAACTTCCTATTTGAAAAAAGCATCCCTTTGGTTTTTTCGGCATTTAGGACAAGTTTGAGGCGGAACAAATCAGTCTGGATGTAGTTAAATGCAGATTTCAAAAGCTGGAAAGCCTTAGCAACTGTTTTAGCTCGACAATAAACAACTGTGTCGTCAGCATAGAAATGTATGGATGCATTAGGGATGTTTTTACCTACATTATGTATGTAGATTGTAAAGAGGGTGGGTCCTAAGACTGAGCCTTGTGGTACACCATTGTTGAATGTTAAATAACTGGAGGAAGTACCATTATGTTGAACACGTTGAACACGTAATAACGTTATTTATCTAAGGAGCCAACAGACTGCTTTGAGTCTTCACTTCATCAGTCTCTCACCCTGAGCAAGCACAAAGGAGGCAGTGGAAAGGAAAAACTCCCTTTAAACAGGAAGAAACCTCCAACAGAACCAGGCTCAGGACGAGCCGCCATCTGCTTCAACCGGATGGGTTTGAGAGGAAGGAGGAACGGATACACAATGGCAGATCCCTCTCTAGGAGGAAAGACAAAAAACACATTAAGATAAAAATAATTCCAAATGCAAATTATTCATTTGATGAAATGTGGTCAGTTTGTCCTCCAGCTGTCTAAGGATATATAGCAGCATAACTTAGAGATAACTCAGGAAACCCAAGCCGACCCCAACTATAGGATTTAGTAAAAAGGAAAGTTTTAAGCCTAGTTTTAAAACTGGATAATGTGTCAGCCTCACAGACAGAAACTGGAAGTTGGTTCCACAAGAGAGGAGCCTGATAACTGAAAGATCTTCCTCCCATTCTGGTTTTGGAAACTCTAGGAACGGCAAGTAAACCTGCAGTCTGAGAGCGAAGTGCTCTGTTAGGAAAATATGGAACAATAAGATCTAAAAAAGTTAAGTCAGGTCCTCTGGACGTTTTTTTGTTTTGTTTGTTTTTTGAACGTCCGGAGGACCTGACTTAACTTTTTTAGATTTTTCTACCTGGATTATTGAGCATGCATCAGGATAACAATAAGATCTGTAATATAAGATAGAGCTAGGTTGTTGAGAGCTTTGTAGGTTAGAAGTAAGATTTTGAATTAAATTCTAGATTTGACAGGGAGTCACTGGAGAGAAGTTAAAACTGTATAAAAAGTTACCACAGAATGTTTGGCTTGCAGTGCGATAACGTTACGCTTTGATCGTTGAGGTGTCGATGTTCATTAAAACAAGGCCGGAGCTCCATCCTGACCCTTCAGAATGTCGTCATGAATGCTCAAGTTGAAGTTATTTTCTTTTAGCTTTTCGAGGAAGCGCCTGAACCTGAGGCTCAGTCCTGTCCCATCATGATGTGTTACTGACCATGAATCTGCTCCCTCCTCACAGACCACTCCGCTCTGCTGTGGAGTATAGAAACTGGAAAATGTCTGCTGAGGTACGCCGGCCATGCAGGCTCAGGTAAAACGCTGCTTATCTACAACATTGTTTAATAAAACCATGTTTTACGTTGCACCTTTGCTCACACACCTTCTTGAGTATTTGACTAAACGTTACATCGTTGTCTTTGCTGCAGTGAACTCCATCAAGTTTCACCCCAACGAGCAGATGGCCCTCACAGGTACAGACATTTGGCCTGTTCTAGTCAGTGTGTCAACAGGTTGGATTGTTCCAGTGTTCCTGTTGCAGCTGCCTCCCTCAGTGTGTGTGTGTGTTGTGTGTTTCCACATGTTTCCTGCAGCCTCCGGCGACCAGACGGCTCACATCTGGCGCTACATGGTGCAGCTTCCCGCCCCCCAGCCCCCACCAGATGTCAGCGTGAGTAACTTCTTAGAGACTCTTCACTTTTTTCTTCCAAACAATTTTTCCAAACGAGAGCTGAGCTAAGAGTTTCTGTCCTGCAGGCTCTGTACGATGAGGACCAGGACTCTTCGGACAGGGAGGAGGGCGAGGTGGACGCAGACGGTCCCTGCGAGGTCCCGACGGTCCGAGTTGCCACAGCGACCCTGAAGAGTCACCAGGGCGTGGTGATTGCTGCTGATTGGTTAGTGGGAGGTCGACAGGTGGTGACGGCTTCCTGGGATCGTGCTGCTAATCTGTACGAAGTGGAAACGTCTGAACTGGTTCACACGCTAACTGGTACGTGGCACACCTGATGCATTATGGGATGTGTACCATATTTGTCAGCCTATAAGTCACGTTAATTTGCATAATTTGCATGTCCTGTGACCTATAGGCCGAAGTGATGTATTTATGGATTTTTTCCCATTTTTATAAACCAGGTTTGGCTGAAATATGACCGTTTTCATTCATTCTGACTGGAAAAAAATTGAACAGTACCATTTTCAGCCACTAGATGGCAGCAGAGTAGTAGTAGTAAGGCATGCCGCTGTATCATGTAACAGGTAAACGTGGCTATAATGACAAATTCAAAAAAGTTCAAGACAAAAACAATTGGACTTTATTTATTATACTTTATACTTTGTTTTTGTATTAAACATTTTTGAATTTACCATGTCCTGTATGACTGAGAATCATCACCAGCTATTAATGACACAATCGGCTTGCCATATTATCCCCATCTTCGTTCTGCTCGCTGCTTGGAGCAAGTCAAACCAGCTGCACCGCCCAGGTGAAATGCATCTAATTTGACCATTAAAGTGCATTTATTAAGTAAAAGTTCAACTGACACATACCTTTACTATAATTCTGAGTAAACAAATTATTGTTTTTAGGTGTTTTTCTTGTTAAATTTTAAAGAAATGCGGAGGCTCGTCCCTCTGCGCGTGTCTGCTGCTTCCGTGATTCGGGTTTGGAAATTCAGCTGTTTTGATCATCAAAGTGCATTTATGAAGCAAAAGTTAGACTGAGACACACCTTTACTATCATTTCGAGCAAACAAATAATTGTTTTTAAGTGTCAATCTTGTTAAAGTCCTCCCGTGCACGCTCCCGCGGCCGCCATTTGGCAGCCCATCGATTTTTGGCACAACACCGGCCCACGTTTCTGGGTTGTCAACAGTGACACATAATAGATGCAACGTATACGGCAAAGCTACATATTGATGGATTTTTTTCACTTTTTTCAACCTATTTGGACTGTTGCGACTTACAGGGCGGTGTGACGGGTACAGCAGAAAATACGGTAGTTAATTTAAATGTAAGCAATGATAAAAGTAAAACATTGTATTTAATTGTTTTCTCACTTTGTTTTTGTCCTTCAGTAAAATGTGAGGAGTGGGCCATCACCCCCCCACTCCTGAGGGCTGAAAGAGGCTTCCTCATGGCAAAATCTGGCCCGTCGGCCACCAGTTGGCACTTAGGTTTAATTTAAATAAGTGTCCTACAAACAAACTCCCTAAATTCTTTATTTCTCACTTTTAGACAGAATGAATTGAATCTGTATTGACTTTCACAGAACACAGAAATCACTTCTTTCAAAGCAGTGGTGTTGGGGGTGGTCACAGAGGGGTTCTGGGGTGGTTCTGGAGACCCTGACTGTCAGATTGGACCCTTGGCCAAGTTTAGGATCAGACTAGTTCCAGGAACAGAAGCCTGACGACATCAAACACTTTGATTTAGACCCGCCGTGTTCATCCAACTCGTCCCCAGTATTTCAAATTATTGTTTTATGGAGAAAAAGTTCAGATTTTCAAGTGACTGACTTTGTCTGTTAAGAAGATTTCAACAGTCGGTGGCGGTGAGGTCATCGTCATAGCTCCAGTTTGTCTCAGTGTGGACGGTTAGTTCACGTCTCAACAGATTGAGCTGCTCTGATGACACGGTGCTCCTTTATCCATCGCAGGTCAGTAACTCCCCCTAAATGATCTGAATCCTGTGTGTGTGCAGGCCACGACCAGGAGCTGACCCACTGCTGCACCCACCCCACCCAGCGGCTGGTGGTCACTGCCTCCAGAGACACCACCTTCAGACTGTGGGACTTCAGGGACCCGTCCATCCACTCGGTCAACGTTTTCCAGGGTCACACGGAGTGAGTCTTCCACACCCCTCCTGTGTTTCACGGCTCTTTCTGTCAGATCGGAGGTTTGATTCCTCCACGGGTGCAGGCTCCATCACTGTGGTTTATTTTGTTGTAGTGCTTATTTCCTCCACAGGGGGGAGCTGTAGCACGTCCATTTTCTGCAGCTTTTTTTTATGTTAATCTCCTGATCCTTCCGCTCTGAGCCAAATCCCTGCAGCCTCTCTTCACTCCAGCCGTCCTCTTCCTCCTATCGCTGCCTCTTCCTGCCTCCCCTGCTCCAATGCTCTGCTGTTCATTTATCTGTCCGGTTCTGCGTTACCCCCCCCCCCCCCACACACACACACACTATGTAATTTGGCACTTTGCTCGCTGTTAGCACGCAATTGCAGCCGCTTCTTTCAAAGCGATGGCTGTCAAGCTCGTCTGTGTCGTTCAATGGCAGCGCTCTTTAAAGTCGTAAGAGGAGCAGTGTGTGTGTATGTGTGTGTGTGTGTGTGTGTGTGTGTGTGTGTGGGTGTGGGTGGGTGGGTGGCTGTGGGAGTGTTTACTGGCAGCCTTTGATTGCAAGTGGAGGATTACGTGGAGCTCATTACGTACAATCCCAACATGAATAATTCCCGCAGATCCACTTTAATTCTCTCTTCTAGACAATTGCTGTAATGAGATTAGGTACGAGTGTTTGGTGGCCAACAGCCACCCCCCCACTCCTCTGCTCCATCCGTATGTCTTTGACAGAACCCGTTAAAATACAGCAGTGCATGCCTCTTCCCTCTTGTCCTTCAGTGATGCATTTAAAGCAACAATCGTCCTCGTGTATCTTGGCGCTAAAGTTGATGGTAGTAGAACATCGGTAAACCTCAAGTTTTACAACCAGCTTCTTATGACATCTTCAAATTAACAAATTTATGTTTTTATTTATTTTTTTGCTGAAACCTTTGTTTGGTCCTTCAAATAATTAGGAAAACGTGTCTAAAATGATATTATTCAACAAAAATTGTTTTTAAGATTAGACGACGAACCAAACGGGTCAAACAAACGTACCTATGAGGAGTCCGCTCTCTTTACTGATATTTAAGTCTTCATGGTTGTTTTGGTTTCAAGAGCACGATGTCATCATCAGCATATCCTAAACAAGCTGCTTTGTCATTGTCCCCCGTCGCAGAGCGAAGAGATTGGAAATCCCCTCTGTGTGTCCGTCTGTCCGTCCACGTTGTGAGCACAAAAACTTAGAAAATAAGTGAGGTACCCACTTCCATTTTGGTGTGTGGCTGCAGCTAGATATAACAAAGGTTCCTTTAGAAAATTGGCTTGTCTCATCAAAAACCAAGATGGCTGAACATATATGTATATGCACTGGCATCAGAAACATTTGTAGTGGGGGGGGACACATTGGTGCTGGGGTCTGCGGGTCCTCCCCCAGAAAGTTTTGAATAAAGTAGATGCCATTTCCTGCATTGTGGTGTATTTTAACAGGTTGTTAAACATCTTTGTTTACCTTCATAAGTAAACTTGATTCAATAACTATTTTAGAGAGCAACAAGAATTAGCCTGACCAACAGCTCTCCTTGTGTTGATAGAGCACGCTCCGCTTCTCTCACACATCCTAACGCCCCCACCCTGGTCGACAACTGCTGGCAGTAACATAGCATTAAGCTAGCATGCAACACAGAGGTGTCTCCCCCTCCTCCCCCCATCCCATCGACAAAAAACCCTCAGAAATGAGCACCCTGCCAAGCCAAGTGACCTCGGGGAAACACTGCATGCGGTGTGATGAGTTGTAGGTAACCAGGAAAACCAGGAGTGGACTTTTAGTGGTTTGAGTATTCTACTATTAATCAAGTGGAATGGATTCATTCACAAAGAAATGGAAACAGCGCTGGGTGAACGGATATTTTGTGGTGTATGCAGGGTCCAAATGAGTATTTTTAAAATGTGAAAGGGACACGTCCCCTTCAATTTAATTGACTTCAGTTTTAGACTTCAGACATTTTAAGGACTTATTTGGACATCCAGATAATAAACCATTGCAATAGTCCAGTCTAGACGTGACAAATGGATGAACCAATTTTTCTACATAATTTTTAGATAAGATGTTTCTAATTTTAGTGATATTACGCAGGTGGAAGAAGGAGGTTCTAGTAACGTTTTTAATGTGGGGGATAAAATACATGTCCTGATCAAAAATAACACCAAGATTTTTAAAATTAGAGCTGGAGGACAGATTAATGCCCACTAAAGAGGGAGAAAGACTGAAAAATTCATTCCTAAGATGCTCAGGTCCAAAAACTAAAACCTCAGTCTTGTCTGTGTTTAAAAGCAGAAAAGTTAGGGTCATCCAGGTTTTTGTATCTTTAAGGCATTTAACTGATTGGCTTTCATGGACAAATATATAGTAACTATGTATCATCAGCATAACAATGAAAATTTATCCCATATTGTTTAATAACATTACATAATGGAAGCATTTATAAAGTAAAGAGTATTCGTCCAAGCACTGAACCCTGAGGAACTCCATGACTAACTTTTGTGTATGACGAAGATTCATTATTTACATTTACAAACTGGAATCTATCAGATAGATATGATTTAAACAAATTTAGAGCCGTCCCTGTAATTCCATTATAATATTCAATTCTCTGTAGTAAAATATTATGACCAACTGTATCAAATGCAGCACTGAGGTCTAACAGGACCAGTATAGACACAAGACCATCATCTGATGCCATGAGAATATTATTAGTAACTTTCATCAGTGCAGATTCAGTGCTGTGATGAGCTCTAAACCCTGACTGAAAATCTTCAAATTATTTCTTTGCAGATGATCATGTAACTGACCTGCAACTATTTTCTCTAGAATTTTTATGATGAAAGTTAAATTAGATATAGGTCTATAAATGGCTAGGATTCCTGAGTCAAGGTTGTTTCTTAAGTAAAGGTTTAATTACAGCAACCTTAAGGCGCTGTTGTACGTAACCGTTTATTAGAGACAAATTAAGCAGATCCAAAATGTGGATATTAATTAAGGGAAATGCATCTTTAAACAGTTGGGATGGGAGCTAGCAGACTTTTACATATAACTGATGCGACGCCTGTGTGTCGATGGAAACCAGACACCCCTGTGATTAAGGAAAGTATGCTTTCTGGTTTTTAAATTGCTTACGAAGATACTTTCCTCAAATGAATGGGGTGGTCGAAAATATATATTTTCCTTTTTATTCTAAAAAAGAATTTGAGAAATTTCTGATTTGGAAACATTTTTACAACTCTTCCTTTTTCTCGTCATCAGTTCGTGTGTATGAGAGGTACAAATGTAGCGATACCATCAGTTTCATTTGTGTAGCGATGTTAAATCTGTTTGGGGTTTTGAAGGAAAAGGTACTCACCTGATGACCTTCACTGTTCCCTCCTCCTAAACAGTGAGACGTTGTGTTGCCATTTCTCTTTCGATGGTTGCTGCTGTTGATCATTGGCTCAGTGTTACAACCTGAGTGGCATAAACGCCCTGTCATCTGTGTGGAAACAGTCGATGAAAAGACGAGTTAGAGTGCTTTACAGAGGCCGAGGGGCCTCCTGTCTTCAGCAGCAATTACAGCTAACGCTCCCTGACAGCCAAGCTCAGCAGCTAAAAGTGCAACACACACACATCCTCCCTTCCATAATTGCGGTGTGATGACAAGCGTGCGTGAGCTAACAAAACGTCCGAGAGCGAACCGGAGATGACAGCGTTCTTGTTCTACACATGGGATGCCATGTCTCGTTTGTCTCCGCTGCCAGAGACGGCTTCCTCGGACGTTCTGATTGCGCTTGAGAGAAATGCGAGCGTGTCTGCAGATGTGTGTGAGACGTGCTGCATGCAGATTTGTCGTCGTGTCTGTGGAGGACTGCACCAGCACTTATCGTCAGCTTTGCTTCAGCGCAGCACAATTAACACGTAGCTTCAAACCCACGGAGTCGTCTCAACCTGAGCTGGTACGTTTTACCTTTTAGGCTTTGGACTCAAACGCTTACTGAATAAATTATACGTTTCTTTGATTTTTCTAATGTACTTAAACATGTAAATGTCAAATAAAGTTAACTCCAAGGTCAATTATACATTTTTATTAACACAAACTTATTTATTTGAATAAGTTTGATACTTTACACAGTAATACTGCATCATCACGGCTCTTTTTAATCAGTACAACCAGTTTTAGTGATAATGTGTGTTTGTCTATTATCAAGATCAGTTGTTCTGTTGCTCTCTGAGGGGGTTAGCGGTCCTGTCCGTCCACCAACACAGCCATGTTTTTGGTTGAGTCAGCAGTTGCCCCCACGGCGGCCCATTCTTCAGCCTTCTTACATGTGGTTAGACCTGTCGCGATAAACAATAAATCAATTAATCGCATGATAATTTCATTCATTCAACCTTTATTTAGACAGGTTAATCCCATTGAGCCTCGAGGACTCATTTACAAGAGAGAAATTAAAATGAGGTCTATAATTGTCATTTATCTGCTTTGTTTCTTCTTGTCTCTCTTTCTGAAGGCACTGGATGACAAAAGGCTCAACTCCGGTGTTCTTCACTGACCTTCACTTTCTCTTTTCTCTTTAAAATCTGTTTTAATGATCCAAAATCGTGCTTTTGGATAGTTGAAAGTAGCTAAGCTGAGAAGCTAAGCTATGAGCTAAGCTAACAGGCCGACCTTGGGGGAAAAACCTCCGTCTTGTCGAAGCGCCAGAATTCACAGTTGAAACGCGTGCCTTCGTGTAAAAAGTTGTTTTTCACTGAAAAAAGAAGCTGAGAACTTGTTTACTGTTTTTTTATTATTAAAAGCTTTGTGTGAAAAATGCTGCGCTAAAGAGCTCAAACTAAACCGAGCGTCCGCCATTTTGAGAACTGAAAAAAATTAAAGAGAGACGGCCCATGTCACGTCAAAAAAAGAAATTTTAATTTGTATGCATCCTTTATGATAGTGTATTGTTGTCGTTGTTATCCACTGTTGTCATCAATCTTTGTTGAAATCAGGTCTCTCTTGTAAATGAGTCCCTGAGGCTCAATGGGATTAACCTGTCTAAATAAAGGTGGAGTGAGAAGGGCCCTCACTCCCATTTTCTTAAAGAGACTCGCTCCCTCACTATCCATCCTTCAGTTCAAACAGTCTTATACTGCCATCCAATGGTCAAACAAAGGTACTACACCAAAAACAAATTAACCAAGATTTCTTCTTAAATTTGACAATAATTACGAATTATTGTCAAATTTCAAACAATATTATTGTTCATCTCAGTAATTTCTGAGACAGTCGCCCAGCAAAGTTTATCGTGACAGGCCTCCATGTGGTTCTTTGGTTTTGTACCAGTATGTATTGGGGCACAGCACCCGTGTGTTTTTACGCTTCACATCCAAACTGAAACTGTTTTGATGGTTGAGCTGAGAGACCTGACTCCACAACAGTCTTCTTCTGTGGTACGAGCCACATGTCTGTTCTAAAGGACGTAGAGTGGATGAAAACTGGTCGTTGTTGTTGTTTTAAAACAAAGACGCCTCCTTGATTAAAAGAATTGGAAAAATATTTTGAGTTACTTTATCTTTTTGAACTGGAAAGTTAATTATTTCCCTTCCACTTGTGCTAGTCTTCTTTCTGAACAAGTCCTGACCTTGGCTGTCGGAGACAAGCAGAGCATGAAGTACCACTGAACACCCCCCCCCCCCCCCCATCTTCCTCACACTCATTGTAAAACCTTTAACCTTAATCAACCTTTTAATCAATTACCCTGTCTGATTACGCTCCACGCTCACCTCCCACCCAGCTCCCCTCCCTCTCTGATCCTCTTGTATTCCCAGGTGGGCTGAACCCGGCAAAGTCAGAAGGTGCCTGTAAGCAGCAGCAGCTTCCTTCAGCCCCGGCCTCTTTAATGGGAACAAGTTCGGTCCGCTAATTAGCCCTTAATGCCACGTCAATTTGAATTAGGACGGAGGGCCTTTTCAGCTGGAAAGACTAGAAGTAACAGCCGAGGCAGAGTGTGTGTGTGTGTGTGTGTGTGTGTGTGTGTGTGTGTGTGTGTGTGTGTGTGTGTCACTATTCAGCCATGTAAATCCACCCCATCCATTTTTTTAGTCTTCATCACAGAACAGGAGAGACAGATGAACAGCAACAGAGTGAAAATGTGAGTAATACTTGAAATGTCTGGAGCGTTGCAGCTGCAGCAGAATACAGATGTGCTCCTTGTGTCCCCATCATGGCTGTTCTCACAACAAAAATAAACGGTTTAAGTTTAAGTCTGCAACCTTTTTGATCAAAGACCCTTTTCTGCCCCTTCACTCATTAAATAAAACGTGTCCAGAGCTGCAAAACCTGCTAGAACTGTGAATTTCAACTGGTGGCCTGTGGGCCACTTCCAGTTTGTTGGAAGGGGGTTTTCTGGCCAGTGGGGTTGACATTATAAAACTAAACGTATATAATGAATTTTAACATTTAATAAATAAAGTGCTGTGTTGTCATCATTGTATGTTTCCACACAATGATGTCATCACTTCTCTGCATTTGACCATCACAGCTGAGATACACCCAGGTGGAGAGTGGGCAGCTATGTAAGCACCCGGGGGGCAGTTAGGGATTGGCTGTCTTGCTCAAGGACGCCATGATGTGGGCATGGCGGGGAGTTGACCCTGCAACTTTCTGGTCTCAAGTCAGCTGCCCTACCTCAGCACCAGCTCGGCCCCGTTATTTATTTTTGATATTTTTGCATTTTAGGACAAAAAAAAAATACAATTTTCATGTAAAGAAGGAAAAATGTATAGTTCGTATTAATTTTGCAAAAGGATTTTTGTGAGTCCTCCTTTATTTTTGTTGGTGTAACTGGGACCTTGTGTACACAATTTCATTCCACCTCATGTACCACATGTGATACGGATGAAAATCAAGAAACCTTGAACTTGATTTTGTGGTAAAAAATAATAAAGTATCGCACTTTGAAGTAATAAAGCATACATTTTAAGCATCTATAAAATTAGGCCATTGTGTTAGTTATCCTCCTGACTACGAGCAGTTCAAATTCAAAATTGTCTTCCTTAGAGGACATTTGTAAACTTGAACATCTCCCACCCACAGCACACTACTGAATTAACTCTGACAATATTTATTTTTCCTGGTAGTCAGGAGGATAATTGTAAATGGTAAAAAGACTGTACTTATATAGTTCCTTTGTATCTAATCAAGATACTCAAAGCTCTTTACAACAATCTGTGGCCTCATTTACCTCCAACACACACATCCACACAGCACTCTACTACATCTCTACAAAGATCATCTGGATCTGTAGAGACTGGTTTAGATCACATTCATACACTGACGGGACACATCAGAGGCAATGAGGGGTTCAGTGTCTTGCCCAGGGACACTTCATCACTTTACTGCTGGTGGAATCGAACCCCCAACTCTCCCATTGGAGGACAACTGATCTAACCACTCAGCCACAGCTGCCCAACAGCTGTACCCCACAGCACCTGCCTCCACCCTCATTTGCCTCACTCTGAGCCCTTGACCAAGGTCCTTAACCCCCCCACCTGCTCCCCCGGACGCCCCAGATGACAGCTCTCTGCTCCACACAGAGGGCTGTGGTTGTGTCAGGAAGGACAAGAAGAAGAGAGCAGCTGAAAGAAGAAGACTCCTCGTTTAATGTGTTTTATTTACAGAAAACACATACATTTCTAAATAATCAAACAACTTGGCTCTTTGGAAAACCTATTTAAAAAAAAATCATATTTAAAACTAAGAATGCTACTGATGTCTATCGGGGACAAGGTACAGTTTGCTCTTTAATTCTTTTCCACAGAACAATAATATTTTAGTCTGTTGTAACATTTGTGTTCTCAGTGTGTTTATAAATCACTGGATAATAAAATGAACTGGAAAATAGTATTTGAATAAGAAACTTCACCTCAGTTGACCTCAGTGCTGAATATGTCAAATCCACAATAGAAAAGAAACTAAACAAATACAACCTACAGTGATGCTTGAAAGTTTGTAAAGTCTTTATAATTTTCTACATTTCTGCATCAATATGACCTAAAACATCATCAGATTTTCACACAAGTCCTAAAAGTAGATAAAGAGAACCCAGTTAAACAAATGAGACAAAATATTATACTTGGTCATTTATTTATTGAGTAAAATGATTCAATATTACATATTAGTGAGTGGTAAAAGTATTTGAACCTTTGCTTTCAGTATCTGGTGTGACACCCCCCCCCCCCCCCGTTCAGCAAAACCTGCAGCTAAACGTTTCTGGTAACTGTTGATCAGTCCTGCTCACCGGTTTAGAGGAGTCTGAGCCCATTCCTCTACAGAACAGCTTCAACTCTGGATGTTGGTGGTTTCCTAACATTAACTGCAGCTGCAGGTCCTTCCACAACATCTGGATTGGATTAAGGTCAAGACTTTGACTTGGCCATTCCAGAACATGAACTGTATTCTTCTTGAACCATTCTTTGGTAGAACCATTTGTGCTGAGGGTCATTGTCGCTACATGACCCACCTTCTCTTGAGATCCAGTTCATGGACAGATGTTCGGATATTTTCCATTAGAATTCTCTGATATAATTCACAATTCATTGTTCCATCAATGATGGCAAGAAGTCCTAGCCCAGATGCGGCAAAACAGGCCCAAACCATGATACTACCACCACCATGTGTCACAGATGGACAAGGTTCTTCTGCAGGATGCAGTTTACCTTTCTCCAAACACTTTTCATTTAAACCAAAAAGTTCTACTTTGGTCTCATCAGTCCACAAAATATTTTTCCAACAGTCTTCTGACTTGTCCAAGTGATCTTTATCAAACTGCAGACGAGCAGCCATGTTCTTTTTGGGGAGCGGTGTCTTTCTCCTTCAACCCTGCCATGACCACCATTGTTCAGAGTTCTCCTGATGGTGGACTCATGAACATCAACATTAGTCAATGTGAGAGAGACCTTCAGGTGCTTAGAAGTTACCCTGGGGATTTAAACAAAAAGGCAATGGATCATAAATGAACACGTTTCTGTTCTGTTAGGATAACTAACAGAGAACAGGAGAAGGTTCAGATGTTTTATGGATTAAACCTTTTCTAAGACTGACTGAAACCTGACGATGTCAAACCCAACACTCTGATCTGAACATAGTGTGGCTGTTTGAAGTTAATGAGTCTTTGAGACCATCCATCCATCCATCCATCATTTTCCTCTTGTTCTGAAGTTGGGTCTCGGGGGCAGCAGCTGGATCAGGGAGGTCCAGACATCTCTTTCCACAGCCACCTCTTCTAGCTCCTCTGGGAGGACTCCAAGGTGTTCCCAGGCCAACTGAGAGACATAGTCCTCTAGCATGTCCTGGGTCTTCCCCGGGGTCTCCTCCCAGTTGGACATGCCTGAACTACCTCAACTGGCTCCGTTCAGTGTTGTCTTTGAGACGAAGTGTAAATTAAAAACTCTAAAGGAAACCCTACGTTTGCTGCATGCTAACAACTCAACACCCCTGCCGGTGTGAGCATGTCATGTTCTCCTAACAACCACACAGTTCTGGTCATACGTGACAAGAGCTGAGGATGGCACCTTGATATGTTTCCGAATCAGAAACGGCAGAGGGTCACCTCTCCATGTCTTCAGGTGGAAGGACGTATCCCTGTGAGGCGTGTTTGTTTCACCAAACCTTCTTTTAGTCGTCTGGAAACGTAACTCTTAGTATCTACAACATGTCATGGTGTCGTCAGACCTGTGTTCTTCTGCTGAAATGCTTCAAGTTGGTTTTCATTCAGCTGCTCTTGTGTCTGACTCTGTGTCTCTGTGGTTTGTTTCCAGTACGGTGACGTCTGCTGTGTTCACGGTGGGAGACAACGTGGTCTCAGGAAGTGACGATCGCACGGTCAAGGTGTGGGACCTGAAGAACATGCGGTCGCCAATAACGACGATCCGCACTGACTCTGCTGTGAACAGGTGAGTGGAAGCAGCTGCTGGGCCTCAGAGGTGAAGACCTGCACACTCACTGGTTTCACATTCATCAGGTAGATTCAGTCCGTACTAGAAGTTAATCTGCTCAGTCCAACTCTACAGTTGAATGTTACTGGTGAAGATGGTTTATTCCAGTTAGGATTAGACCAACATACAGTTAAAAGTGCTGCTCAGTCCTGGTCCTTGAGGGCCACCATCCTGCATGACTTAGTTGTTCCCAGTTGCAGAGCGAAAACAGGGAATTAGCCACGTCAAAATCCAAGATGGCCAGCACCACACATTACTGTGAAACAATAGTTCATGCCTCTGTGACCACTAGGCTGGATTACTGTAATGCTCTTTATTGGGGGGGTTTAGTGGTTCCTCCATTGCCCGTCTTCAGATGGTGCAAAATGCTGCCGCACGTCTTTTAACTGACACGTCCCCATTTTAGTCTCACTTCACTGGTTGCCCATACATGTTAGAATCAGATTTAAGATTCTTTTATTTACTTTAAAATCTCTCAATGGTCTCGCCCCACCACACCTCTCTGAGCTGCTACAGCCTGATATCTACCCCCGCTCTCTCAGGTCAGCTGATCAGCTGCTCCTGAGTGTACTAAGCTTGGAGGTGACCGAGCCTTCACTGTAGCAGCTCCTAAACTATGGAACGTTCTGCCTCTCCTCATCAGACAGGACTCTTCGCTGCCTGTTTTTAAATCATCTTTTCACACCAAGTGACATGTTGAATTCATTAGGGTTATTTATTTGATTCTCCTTTAACTGTTTTATGTCTTTTTAATTATTTTTTTCTTGTATTTTATTCCTTTTGTGCTTTTTAATTTGTCTGTACAGCACTTTGGTCCTGTATGTTTTTTGTTTTTTTTTAAGTGCTTTATAAATAAAGTTGGATTGGATATGTATCTGTGTCCGTCCGTCTATATTCAGATGGATGGATGGACCACCCCTATCATTTGAGGAAGTTAAAAGTATATCCTGGTGCATGCTCAGTAATGTTGAACAGCTAGTTCTGGATGTCAACAACAAACTGGTTGATCCACTGTGAGAAGGTGATATTTATAAGACTGAGTTTGTTGCAGCTCCTCAGACTGAAGAAGTCTTTCAGATGAAAGACGAAACGTTTCTACAGTTTTTATTTGAACCCATCCAGAGGACCTGACTTAAGTTGTTTTTTTAGCTTAGAAGTATAGATTCCTCAAATAATTGGGGTGGCTGAAGATTAATCTTTGGGGTCCATAGCCACCACTGGCCACCCCCTGGCTCTGTCGTTGCACCTGGTGGTGGATAAATTAGCTCCCTCTACTTGCCAGGATCCGTCACTCTGTGCTTCCTTGAACAATGAACAAACCTGGTCCCTCTGCTCTTCTCCACAGTGACTCCTTCACTCTTGAATCTCTAGACTTGTCTTTAGTTCTTTTACTTCTTGTTGCTGTTTGCAGCCTTGGAGCAGCGCTCAGGTCAGCTGTTAGAACGTGGCTTCACTTCAACATGTGACTCGTGTGAATCTTTCAGGATTTGTGTCTCCACCAACCAGAGGATCATCGCTCTGCCCCACGACAATCGACAAGTGCGGCTGTTTGACATGAGCGGCGTGAGGCTGGCCCGGCTTCCACGCAGCAACCGAATGGTAACCAACGATCCGAACGACCAGCGAGACGCCGTCTTCAGCGTGTTTCTAAACAGACGTCTGTGTGTGTTTGCGCAGGGTCACCGGCGAATGGTGTGCTGCACAGCGTGGAACGAAGAGAACCAGATGTGCAACCTGTTCACCTGCGGCTTCGACCGGCAGGCCATTGGCTGGAACATCAACATCCCCGCTCTGCTGCAGGAGAAGTGAGGAGGTGGGCCAGCGCCCCCTCGCTGCCCTCCTATGTGTATTTACAGCTCGGAGCCCACAAGCGGCTCAGACACGCCAGCTCGTTTGCTGTGGCGTGTATTTCACACGGCTCAAACACAGCCGAAGGACACGGTGACCTCTTACAGGAAGTAGCTAATAACACCGATGAGATGATGTTCCTCTGGATTTTGTTGTTTAATCTCTGGGTGGCTCAGCTGGTGGCTGCAAGGCCACAAAGCCTTGTGTTTTCTTTTTCTTGTTATTTGATCACATTAGTGTGAGGCTGGTTCATCCCGGGCTACCTGGACTTCAGACAGATGTTCACTTTCTGTTTGCTTGTTGAAACAGCTGCTCTTGCATGCAGATGACCTCAGTTTGTGAACGTTACTCATAAAGCTGTGAGAGAAGAATTAAATTATTTATGATGTGCTGCCAACAGACTCCATGTCTTAAACCTCCATTGTAAGGGTTGAGTTTGACAAAGAAGTAAAATGTTTTGTGTCTTTAAAGCACAGGTGGGCAGCCATGTTGACTTGGTTAGTTTGATTGAAACATGAACACAGTACCTGCATCCATCACCTGCAAACATGATGGCTAAACACTCTATTAACTAGCATCTTATCCTGATGCTGCTCAGTAATCCAGGTAGAAAAACAACAAAGTAAAGTCAGCTCCTCTGGACAGATTAAAAAAAATAAATAAATAAAGTGTTTCATCTTTTATCCAAAAGACTTCTTCGGTCTGAGGAGCTGCAACAAACTCAGTCTTATAAATATCACCTTCTCATGGTGGATCAACCAGTTTGTTGTTGACATCCAGAACTAGCTGTTCACATGATGGAGGACCATCAGACTAATGACTGATCGTTAGTGCTCTGATGGCCGCTTGCTATTCACAGAGGGCTGAGTGATTCTAGCAATAACAACATTGTAAGAGGAGGACAGATGAACATGGAGGCTCCGCCCTGTTTAAAGATGGACAGATTATTTTCACAAAGATGGCCTCCTTCCCTCCTCTCTCAAACCATCGTTCCTCTCTATCAAGGATGTGAACATCTTCATCCCTGAAACGGTGCCAGAAGATCAGCATCATCAGGCCAGGACTCTGTGGTCTACACTCATCTCAAGGTCAGAGGTCACTCGTTCAGGGATGAAGATGTTCACATCCTGGATAGAGAGGAACAATGGTTTGAGAGAGGAGTGAAGGAGGCCATCTTTGTGAAAAGAACCTGTCCATCATTAAACAGGGCGGAGCCTCCATGTTCAACTGTCCCCTCTTACAATGTTGTTATTGCTAATATCACTCAGCCCTCTGTGAATAGTAAACAGCCATCAGAGCATTAGTGATCAGTCGTTAGTCTGATGATCCTTCTTGATCATGTGAACAGCTGGTTCTGGATGTCAACAACAAACTGGTTGATCCACCATGAGAAGGTGCTGCTTATAAGACTGAGTTTGTTGCAGCTCCTCAGACTGAAGAAGTCTTTTGGATAAAAGACGAAATGATGCAACACTTTAATTGTTTTAATCCATCCAGAGGAGCTGACTTAACTTTGTTAGATATCCAACATCTTATTTACACATCACCTCTTGACTAGAAGAAATGCAACCTGTAGATCTTTTCTGAGACGTTCATCCTTTATCTGTCAGTTCAGACTTTAACCTTTAAAACAAGAGGTCACTTTCATAAACTGTCATGAGACATCATAGATCAAAGGTCATGCTCAATAATCCAGGTAAAAAAATCCAACACAGTTACGTCAGCTCCTCTGGACAGATGCTTTTTTTTTAATAAATAAGTTTCTGGATGTTAAGAACCCATCCAGAGGACCTGATTTAACTTTGTTGGAAGACAGGATAGACTTAGTTTTAACTTTCCTCAAGAGTCGTTACTAAACTCTTAGATTTTATTTATTTCGGGTTGAATTTGGATGATGGTGGATTAGGATCTTATTTTGCTCTCACGTGTGCTTTAAAGTCGTTGGAACATCTCTCGTGGCTGAAGGAATCCTCTCTCGTTACTGGACGGCAGCAGGCACTTGTTTTCAAACAGCTGCCCAGATGTTGTCTCGAAGTGTTCCAGACTGCGGTTGGCGCTCCTCTCTCTGCTCTTCCAGTTCAGCCTTTGTGTTTGCAGGTTGTTTCTCTCTGTGCTCCATGTTTACGTCACGTTGTTGTTTTGTTGTTGTTTATTGCTGTGCCTCTGTCAGGGGGCGACGTGTCGAGAGCGCAGCAGTGACCGGTTCACGGGTCCTTCAGGGACACGCTGCTGTGTCATTTTGTCTCGTTTTTGTTTGAAGCAGAAGCGATAACCCAGCTCCTCGGTGTTACTGGTGCTCAGGCTGAATCCATTCAGTCATGGTTGGTCTGGACTGATGGACGACGCTGGTTTGAAATGAAGTCGTGCTGTAAGTCGCACCAACGTGATTATTTGGTGTAGATCCTGTGAAGACGTCCTGTAGGTGTTTGCTGCGTTAGCTCTGGAGCGCACACTTCACCGCTGCTTCTGCAAACGTTGCAACCAGGAGACGTTTTAAAGTAGCATGAACCGTGAAAAATGATTTCTTCTAACGCCTTACGTGAAGGACGGTGCATGACTCTTATCCTGAGCATCGGCGCGCTCCTCCAAGTGCTTGTTCAATAACTGCTGCACAGCACGGTGCACGTAGGGTTCTTCATTCAGGGAGCCGAGTCCGTGCGCCGTTCTAATCTGCAGATGGAACGGAGCGCTCGGCTTTATGAAATTCATCCTGGGGGAAATATGATTTTGGATTGATACATTAAATTATTTTGTGCCAGACTGTAAGGGTGGAAATATATATTTAATATATAAAAAGTGGATGAGCTCACTAATGTGAATTTATATTCACCTCCAACTTCATGATGTCGTCTGCATACTTTATTGTGACGCCTTTGTGCTTTCTGACATTTTCCAATAAAACGATGTGTCTCCTGTTCCCAGTCTCGTCTCTGCTCACACTTTTCTTTCAGTTCAGTGAGGTGTGTCCTCTTCAGATGTACATTTTATTCTCCTGCTGACCCCCCCGTACCTGGACTACAGGTACAAATTAAATCTGATGTCATTTGATACTAAGATTTTTTTCATCAGGACAAAACAAAAGATCAAGTTTTCATTGTGCATTTTTGGGCAGATATAGCAAATACTTCAGAGACATAGTAGTGCACGACCCATTACTGTCACATTTGTAGTAGAGATACTCAAACAGCAGCCATGACTTGTTGCTGACATCATCGATCGTTAAATCAGGACTTTGGTTCAGCCACAGCAACATGATTCTTGTTGCATGACTCAGTTTTAGTCAAACACATTTTCTAATTCAGCTGCAGACAAGCCCTCGTCATCAACCCTCCACCACCGTGCCTGACACTTTGTATTCAGACCGGAGTTCCTCTGGTCTGGATGTTGCTTGGTTGACGCGCCTTTGCAACATCATGTGGATATCGGGGGTTAGTGCCGCTGGATTGGCAGACTGGGGGTGGTGGTTCCCCTCTTCAAACAACACCTGGGGTGTGCCCCAGTGACAGGGACATCAGTCTCCTTAGCCTCCCTGGTAAGGTCTATTCAGGGGTTCTGGAGAATACTTCGTTGGTTGAACCTCAGATCCAGGAGGAACAATGCGGGTCCTGTCCTGACTGGAACACTGGACCAACTCTTTACCTTCACTAAGATTTTCGAGGGGTCATGGGAGTTTGTCCATCCAGTCTTCATGTGTTTTGTGGACTTGGAGAAGGTGTTCGACCGTGTTCCTCTGGGTAAACTTGGGGGGTGCTCCGTGGGTATGGATTGGGGGCCTGTTGCTATGGACTGTTCAGTCTTTATACTAGCGGTGCAAGAGTTTGGTTCTCATTGCCGGTAGTAGGTCGGACCCCTTCAGGTGGGAGTTGGAATCTGCCAGATTCTGTTCATAACTTTTATGGACAGAAATTCTCGGTGCAGCCAGGGAGTGGAGGGAGTCCAGCTCGGTGGCCTCAGGATTCCATCTCTGCTCTTTGCAGATGATGTGGTCCTGTTGGTGTCATCGTGCTGTGATCTCCAGCTCTCACTGGAGCGGTTCACAGGAGCTTGTGAAGCAGCTGGGATGAGAATCAGCACCTCCAAATCTGAGACCATGGTCCTCAGTCAGAAAAGGGTGGATTGTTCTCTTCAGGTCAAGGGTGAGGTTCTGCTTCAAGTGGAGAAGTTCAAGTATCTCAGGGTTTTGTTCATGAGTGATAGAAGAATGGAGCGTGAGATTGACAGACGGATTGGTGCAGCATCTGCAGTATTGTGGACACTGCCGGTCCGTTATGGTGAAGACAGAGCTGAGCTGTAAGACAAAGCTCTCCGTTTACCAGTAAGTTTAATTTCTGTGGTGCACATTTAAAATATTGTGAAAAATATATATATTTTTGTCAATCAGAAATTAAAACTCGTATATTACATAGATTCATTACACATAGAGTGAAATATGCCAAGCTTTTATTTCTTGTCATTTTGATAATTATGGTTTACAAATAACAACAAAAAAAAATCAAAATTCAATGTCTCAGAAAATTAGAATATTATGGTATATATCAATATAAAATCTCAATATTGTGGTTCAGTATTGTAACTCCTGGTGTCACACCTTGATCAACTGATGAACTCCTGGACATGAGCTACAAATGTTTCATTCCTCAAGTCCAGACACGATCTTGATCCAGAGAAACGTAAGAAGTGTCTTACCTCCTGAGGACACAAAGAACTGGTCTCAGAGGTCCAATGTCCTCTTTTCAGATGTAAGGAAAGGTTCATGTCATTTGTAAATGAAGGTACCACATTCTGGAGGAATAGTCCAGAGTGAATCCAACATTTTTCAGTCAGGTCATCTGGACAGTTTCTTTTTTTTTTTTTTCTGAAACGTTTCACCTTCAATCCAGAAGGCTTC